TCCCTGCCTTTATCTCCATTTGCCGGTGCTTCCAGAAGGGACGTGTTCTATCAAAACGCGTCGAAAACGCGTCAATGGACGCGTCTCGGCAAATGCCGACTATGGCTATCTGGTTGTGTGTTGCGTGTGGTGCACTTTTCTCGCTCAGTATCACACTTTAGTTGGAGTAAAAATCGGAATATATTCTTTTAGATGTGTATAATTCCATCCTTCCAGTTAAAATTCTCGATTTGTGTCCCTCTCCTGGTTAACCTATCATCTCAGCCCTCTGAACTTGGTCTTATAGCACTTACAAGGCAGTGTATCAAAAATTGAACTGGAAGGATGGATTCTATATAACATCAAAGAATATCCAAAGATTTTTTCGCTATTTTAAAATGTCTGCTCGTCCCGAAAAGTGCACCACAAGCTGTAACCAGCATTTCGCCCGTGTGGCTGAAGCGTGACGCGCGCGGCGGAGTTCGAATTTGGCAGGCGTTGCCGACTCCCATTGCCACCCTTGATGATCAAAGCGTAGCATTAGCGGTGGCGATACCGGGCGAAGTAGCTGTAGGTGCGCCACGGCTCGCAGGAGGGCTTCTAAGTGCGGATCCCTCGGATTTTTCGGTTCGATAGGTGGCAAGCGACGTCACCCACTACGAGGCGAGCCACGCGTAAAGCCAACTGTGCTCGGGTACCGGCCAACGAGGCCTCGAGGGCAAGACATCATATCAAGTAAGCTGGTTCCAACCAGTTACACTATTCATACAGATTGTCATGACTATATGGCTTGACGATTACGGTAGATACTAGACACACCGCACGAATTTGCTAGAACGCAGACAGTCGTCGATGGCGCCACGAAATCCGGGTTATAACGCCTTCGTGCCGACGACCATACTGACGTCCATCCACATGCCCTCAGTCCTGAGGAACTCCTCGTGAGCACGTTGCTTCGCGTCGTACTCCTCGGCCGTTCCGAGCCCCAGCTCGATCCATTGCTGCTTTAAAGCGGGCGACACGCCGCCGTAGAGACGCATGCTACTGTCGACTTGGTGCTCCGGCATACCGAGGAGCAAGCATGCGGCGCCGTACGGGACCCGCAGGCGTATCGCTTGGACGTCCACCAGTCCGGCTTCTCGCATGAAGGTCGGGATGTGGTCAGCGCATCTGCATATTCATGAGTACGAAATGTAACTTGTGAGGGTATATGAGCAGAGTACATACAAATGAACAAGTCTAGCTTTCTTCCACCATGCGCGCGTGATGTTGTTCTTCCACTCGAGGTGCTCGGCGTTCCCAGCACCGCCACTTCCCCGGACGAGCTCCATGTTGAGCTCGGTGATGCTGAGTTTGCCGCCGGGTTCTGCGGTGCAACGATCGATCAATATTTAGTGGCAGTGCGGCAAACGCCGACCATGCACTCACTCAAGGTTTCGGCTACGTTCGCTATCGCAGATACCCACTGGTCCTGGCGGATACCGGCGACCAGCAGCCTCTGGTGAACGAGGTCGTACTTGCCGCGGCGCGCCTCCGGGAAGCGCTCTGTAATGTTTTGGACGAACACTTCGTCGGCGACGCTGGAGTGATTCTCGTTGTATTGCTCCAGAGAGATATCGCAGGCGTCGAGGACAGCCTCCGGATGCGCGGCGGGGCGCGCGTCTTTGAGCCATGCGCCGGTTCCTGTGCAGCAGTCGAGAATGGAGCGATGTTCGCGCAGGTCGATGGAGGGGTGCACTAGGAGGCCTCCGAAGGCGCGTCGGTAGTGGTCGTGTTGGGCCTGGAGCCGCTCTGCTTCCGTGGGGTTGCGGGGGAGAACGTAAACGTCTTGATTGACCACCATGGTTGTCTCGAAGATCGGGTACGTGGTACGCGCCTCGAGGTAGCCATTATATGCATCCCTCTATCGCAGAGACCGGTGAGTGGAACGACTCGAGTGGTGACAGCGCCTGGGGCTCATCAATTCTCGGGCCCCGCAGTTGAGCCCACCGGTACTAGTAGACCCTAACCTAGACTCCGACTGGGTGACCTCCGATACCGCGGATCACTGGCACGCGCAGTTGCATTGGACGCCCATCCCCTCACTTGTTGGAGCGTTGCTGCAGGGTTGCAATCCCTCGGGAATGCGAATCATTATCTCCACGTGTGCTCGACCCACCTGGAAGTGCTATCAGCAGCACGGACGAAAAGTGGACTCGCAAAGTGTTGGATGCACCCCTCGTCATAGGTGTTATCTCAGGGAAAGTGGGCGGCGGCGTCCACTCTGCTGCCTGGCACTATGCAAAATCCGTACTTATAAAGGATAAGTTGACCCAATGATCGTTGTTTCCAGCATAGGATATTTGTCTACGTCCGTCCCACTACCTCTAAGCTCTACTATCCGCCGCCGCGATGGTCGTAGCAGTGTCAGTCGACGTTATGCAGATTCGCCCTCTCAATGACAAGTCGCCTTACAAAGCAAGGGTGGCTCCCCCGCGAGCTACGAGTGAAGATTTCTATGTCCTCCCCCGCGACGCAGGCGAATCTGAGCGGCTTCAGGCCCAACACGACCATCTCCGGCGGTCGCTCGGTGGTCTTCTCGTCCATCCGTCACTTCGCCTCCAGCACCGACGCACGATTCTCGATTGCTGTACTGGGACTGGGGCATGGCTAAAGGACGCCCGCCTTGCCGCGCATCCGGACGCTATTCTCGAGGCTTGCGATATCACTCTGGAGCAGTATCATCGCGGGGACGCCAAGGCGGACGATGTGTTTGTACAGAATATCCTTCACCCATTCCCTCAAGAAAAGAGGAACAGATACGACATGATCCATCAGCGATACTTGACTGGAGGTATCTCGCGCCATCAATGGTCTAATGCGATTCGGAACGTCGTAGAGGCACTGAGTATGTCACCGCCGTTTATCGCCCTTCGCAGACCAAGGAGTTTACGATACTCTACAGAGCCAGGAGGCTACCTTAACATCACGGAGCCCAACTTAGAGACGTCGCCTCCAAGTCTGTTGGATGACGCCTCTGGGATTTCCAATTGGAAGTGGCAATTGAAACAGCTATCATGGCAGAAGAATAATCTCATTGAACAGTCAGTCCTCGATACACTTGGATGTAATGCAGCGACTTATTGGTTAACCCAGATGCGCTGACGAGATCCCAGCTCTTTTGCGAGACGCGGGCTTGATTAACGTGCAAACAATCCGTATGCGGGTGCCTTACGGTGCTAGCTGTCGAGCGCTCGGAATGTCCGAAAACCAAGTCGAGAGTACTATCCGCCTTCATATGTCGCCCTCGTTCGATCAGGCACTAAAGAAACTATGGATATCGTCGAGCAAGGGTACGGCCGAGGAATTTGACCGAAACCAAGCGATGTACGAGAGCTTCCTGCGGGAGAAGGGCATATGGATGGACGTTAGCTTTGTCATTGGCATGAAGCCGTATTGAGTACGGTTTTGTATCAGTTTGTCTCCTATTTATGCATTCGCTCTCAGATAGTCCATACACTATCTATACACGACTGTAGGATTATGACTGACTTTTCCGATACGTCGACTCATGTACCCGTTAAATAATACATTCCGGTCTACTTTAGCAGATGCAATACTTGGAGTGCCTCTCCTATTTATAGGGCTTGTGAGACTCGGTAGCCGCGCCATACACTGCGTGCTTTCAAGGGATGCTTTAAGATGCTATAGGTGCTCGGATCACCGACGGCTGGAGGCGTAGGTAGGCCTGATGGCGGCAAGTGAACGTCTTGGCTATGGGTGCGTAGTCACCACGGGGAGAAAGGTTGGCATCTTGAAAGTGCGTCGCATTCATGATGTGCTTTCAAGTTCCGATACTTGGACGAGCAGAGAGAACTACTAGATTTGGGAAGGAAAAGATGATTATTGTAATGGATTCCTCATAGGAATCATCTTCTCCACTCGGACCTGAAGCAGGTATACGTAGATCGACGTCGTCGATCCTGACTTGAGCGCTCGATAGCGAAATGCTACTCCAGCCGACGGCTTTGTGGCAACTCTTTATAATTAACATGTCAAATCGGCTGCCACAAACCCCTCGAACGCACGTGAGCTGCCTTTCTAAATTTAGCCGATTAAGATCATCTTGAGATGACTCCTCTCGGACGCCTTCAGTGCATAGTCCGAGCCTTTCATCGTTCTATTCATCTACGCCCTGACATCAGGGTGAAGTTATCTGCGCCTGTCATTTTTTCTCCGCAAAATACAAGTCGATTTCATATACACGGCAGTCTCAGCATCATGGCATCAGCGCAAGCTGTGAGCAAATTATACAAGCCAGTACGCGAGCTTGTACTCGGGGCAACCGATGAAGCAAGCGGGTCAGACTTCGGTCTGCCTTCGCACCAGAGAGAAGTAGCAGAGTGGATCGACAAGGTTGCGAAAAGGGATATCGGAAGCGTGGAAGGGCTTAAGGTGCGTCTTGTTCCTCAATATGAAGCTGACGGGGTAGTGAATCGCTCAGGTGCCTGTGTAGGACCTGGATACGCAGTTGACACCAAAGACGTACATTGTTGACAACTACTTCACTGCTGCAGATGTCGCAGTATATGGAGCGTTACATCCCGTTTTCGTACGTTGCTTATACCGGACTTCGTCATGCACACGACTTACAGTCTTTTGTGTCGCTAGTCTGAACTTCAACCTGCGCAATACTATTCCCTTCCTGCTCTTACCCGTTACTTCGATCATATACAGAACTATCCTAGCGTCCGCAAATCCGCGGACGCACTCTCCCCTTCATTCTCTCTTGTTCCCATTGATATCGAGAACGCGCCAAAATTGGAGCGGAAAGCTGATCCTCCAAAGGAAAAGAAGAAGAAAACTACGGCTACTGAAGCCTCTGCTGCACCACCAGCGGATTCGGGTAAAGCGTCTGCCGCAGCCGGTCCCCCGTCTGAGAGCTCCGCCCCCGCTGAAAGCAGCAAGGGGCAGAAGAAAGAGAAAAAGGACAAGAAAGAAAAGAAGGAGGCCGGTGAAGGAGGTGACAAGGGAAAGAAGAAGGGCGGTGAGAGTGCCAAGGCAGCGGCAGATGACTCGGGAGAGCCTGTGCCTTCCATGATCGACATGCGGGTAGGACACATCGTGGAAGGTGCGTGGAATCTCTCTTCCACATCGCGAGGAAGGTCCACTCGCTAAACATCAAATAGTCGCCAAACACCCTGATGCGGACAGCTTATATGTCGAGGTCGGTACTGACCTGCGCTAGCACGTTATGGTCCCTGATTTCAGTCGTCCGCAGCAAATCGACTTCGGTGAAGAGACCGGCCCAAGGACGGTTGTTTCAGGTCTTGTAAATTATATTCCCATCGAGCAGATGAGGGACAGGTACCTTGTCGGTATTGTGCGTACGATTTTACCGTTTCGACGTGGCATGGTCCTCTAAATTTCATGTAGTGCAATTTAAAACCTGCAAACATGAGGGGTGTGAAGAGTTTTGCCATGGTTCTTGCGGTGAGTTGTTTATTGCATATGCTTCGAAACCGAATATTTCATCGCAATAACCTCAATGCAGGCTACGTCGAAGGACGGCAAAGAGGGTGGAGTCGAGTTGATCGAGCCCCCGCCAAACTCGAAACCTGGTGACAGAGTGTACTTCGAGGGTCCGGAATTCGAAAGTGCGTAGCTACATATACTTATCGCTATCCAGCTAAATGACTTCAATGAACGTATAGACGCGACTCCCTTACCGCAGCTAAACCCGAAAAAGAAGATTTTCGAGACCATCCAACCAGGTTTGCTCTGGCTATTTGAACCGTACCCTGAATAAAAATGTTTACTGACACATGAATAACAGGTTTCACGACCTTGGAGACTCGCGAGGCTGCGTGGATAAATCCGGCTACGAAAAGCATCCACAGGATCCGCACGGCGAACGGTGTCTGTGTCGCGCCCAACTTTGTCGGCGCTTCCCTATCGTAGATGTGTCCAACAATCTGGGATAGTAGGTCATTGACAGCTCTGGTAGAGTAATCGGTGGCAATGCAGAAGAAATTGTATCACTCTCTCCGAGGGGTCGCAGCAGCTAGCACGTAGAATGCGAGAAGGGAGCAAGATCGTAATGGACCGCGGATCTTCTTTAATGAGAGTTTGGGCGCTGGTCGCCGCGGCATCACGAAGACCTGAGTGGAAGTGGTACATAAGTCGACTGCACTTGAAGAGCCTCAGCTTGTGGTACGTATCAGAGAATAAGGGATGTCCATGATGGATGTCCCTTATTCGCTGCCATGCCAAAGTGTCTACCGAGGCAGAGCAGCGGCCGGCTCTAAGTCACATTTATGGGCGACAATCTTCGAGTTCGGGGATACACGGGCACTGCACGGGCGCCCCCACTTCGCCGTCCTCCATCTCAGGCTCAGCACCGCGAGAATGTTATCTAGTCATCATCGCTTCCCTAGGACGCCCGATCACGGGTAGTTCTGGGTTTGAAACATCGTCCGACTATCATTAGTCACCCTCTGTGTAAGTACTTAACTTCTTCGTCAGATTTCATGTCAACTGTAGAGCACTAATGACTCCAGACGGTGTCATCGTACAGCGGATTGAGAACCCTTCGCGTAAGTGCTGTACCCCTCCGCACAGCCGTCCATCTCACTCTCCTTCAGCAGCGCAGATAGATGCTTCCGTCGAACTGTTCAGTAATCTGATGAAAGATGGTAAGCCGACCTCTTTTGCTCACTCTGGAGTATTACCATGTCATATTCTCTATGTAGATGGGGTAATGAAGAGCCTTACTGGCGGTGATATCACATTACTCCCGTTGATGGGTCGTGCCATGCTCGCAGCAGGAATAGCGGAGGGGGAATACTACGCCGCTACAGACGACAACCGTCAATTGCTCGGATTCCTGATGACAATGCCTCCCGGTCGGGACCTCTTTGACAGGTAGGTTCCAATGCTCGGGCTCATGGGGTGGTAACGTACAGTAATCGACGCTGTTTCTAGCGAAACACAGCGTAACCTTGGCCTTCGCGAATTTATGGAGAAACTCTCCGACGCTGGCAAGGAGTACTATCAAACCACTGTATGTAACCTAAGTTTCGAGATGCGCTGCACTTACCGGTTTACATCACGTAGTACATGTCCAGATTTCCCGGATTTGTGGCACAATGCATCGGTCCGAAGGTAATTCGTGAATACCCCATCTGGGCATTATTCTCACTCGGTGATTAGGGAAAGACGGAGTCTTTCTGGATACATATGGTGATGATTGATCATGAGCACCAGAGGAAAGGTAGTATCGCCAAAGCTCTAATTGGGTTAGTTCGAGAAAAGGTGAATGCGTATGCGGAATCAATGATTGCGTCAGAGTCCTTCTGACTTCACCGAATAGGCCATTCGTATCGGCGCCCCCGTCGCGTTGAGCACGACTACTCCTACCAATGTCTGTCCCACTCCCTTTATGGCACAGTGTAATATGCTCAGATATTAACGATCACCGTGTCCAGGCCATTATATACCAGAAAATCGGTTTCGAGTTGAAGGGACAGATGATTATGCCATCACCTTGGGAGGAATGGCCGCTATACGTTTTCTTCGCACCTCTTCCATCCTACTCCCGAAAACTGTTTAGACATGACTACTCGGATATCGTTTAATCGTCTTCACTTAGGCATCCGAGCCTAGGTGAAGTTCGTCGGTAGTGGTGCAAATATGTCTAGGAGGGAGTGGCATGCTCTTTCTGGTATGGAACCTGGATAGAAAGTAACAACCGACCTATACTTCAACATTAAGCTGGGTACTTCAACTGTGGCTTGAGCGTCTAGCTTGAAGCTTGGACCTGGTAAGCCCGGCCCGGATGTCCGCCACACAAAGCCGCACTGCCGCAAGATGATTTGACGATCACAGACGCCACAATTGAGTACTCGCAGGTCGTACACCGTGACAAACCCTCTCTTCTATGCCTCCACAATACCATGACCAGGCCTTTTGGAACACACGGTTCAAGAACGAGGCTACATTCGAATGGTTGGGAGACGGTCAAGATACACTACTTCCTCCGTTGCGCGATTTTCTTGTGCAATGCAGAGCCAGTTTTGATGTACCGCCGCGAATCCTACACATCGGAGCAGGGACCTCCTCCTTCCAAGACCATGTTCAGCGTGCCCTGGTCCAAATTTACGGAAATGATGTTGACTGCCGGACAATTGTGAATACGGACTTCGCTGAAGTCCCTGCTATGCACAAGGCAGACACGGCGCAACCCAGCGGGCAATGGGTGAAGGCAGACCTTCTCCGCTGGACTGATATCCTGAAGATACTTGAGACAGCTTCGGACCGCTTTTCCGTCGTTCTGGACAAGAGCACCTCAGATGCCATTTCATGCGGCTCTCCCGTGGCACCGCAAGAGACCTCCGAGGATATGGGCATCAACCCGCTGGTGCGCTCTCTTCTTGCTGCGAATGGCAGCGCCGAAAAAAACCCGACTTTGTCCGCATTGGAAGTCCTATCGTTGCACTTAGCCACCTGCGTTAAACCGGGCGGGATCTGGATCGCGTTGTCATATTCCAGCGACCGGTTCCCCTTCCTGCGGTCTTCGAATAGTTCATCCCGCCAGGAACACAAGAAGATGAGCCACTCGTCCATTTATTGGACCATAGAGAACGTAGTCGCGGTCGACGCACCCTCGGGCCAAGATAAACCAGGAGTCCATGCTCCAAGGGTGCAGCATCATTTATACGTATTACGGAGAACCTCCGCTGCAGCGTAATGCACTCGAAGATGGAAAGAACAAATATCATTGCAATCGCGTCTATGCAGGATGCTGTCTCCCGCATTTGTGGACGCGGTCTTGCGCCAGCGAAGTCCCGAGGCGTCCACGACGGGATCCCACTCTATAATTTATTACGATATAATGTGCTGACTCCATCGTACGAGCTTCGTCACAACATGGGCTAAGCCGAGGCAGCAGGGATAGTTGGGCACAAACTAATGCCGTGGCCAGCGCGTGTTGACCAGCCTGACAATAAACACGAAGCGTATATCTCGACGTGCTCTTCACTACTTTTTCTTCACGGCCTTGATCCTAATTTGCTCATTGCCAATGAAGATACCCTGAAGGACGGGACACGTGAGTTGGTTAAACTGGGCGTCAATATATACCGGACGAGCATACCTTTCCTTTGTACGGTTCTGGCGGTCTCCATTTCCTCACTGCTGCCGCGAACAGACCGAGTTGATGTTTGTCTGTACAGGTGAGGACTATTTTTGTAGGAGCGGGTACTTCAGCCTTGATGTGCGATGGTATTGGCATGAGTACGGAATGCGAGAAGCCGAGCTTCATGTTCAGCCGCTGGCCGCTTCCACCCTCCTGAGTCGCTCTCGGGTCGTCCTCTAGAGCTGCCCTGTACCCAACACCGACCAGATATAATGGAACGGTAAAACCCTCAGTCATTCCTACGACAGCATTATTGATCAGTGTCCGGGTGAGACCCCACATTGACCGCTGCTTCTTCTCCTCCGCATTCTCCACGGCGATCGATAGCGAGCCAGGCTCAGGGAAAGCAATCTTCATGTAAGGCTCGAGTGGGACGGAAGTGGAACCGAGCGGACCCTTGACTGCAATGTGAGTGGGAGTCGGGTCAACGGTCACCGAAGGGGGGATCTTGATGGGCTGCTTCCCGATGTTGGATGTGTGGCCATGATTCCGCGCTGTAGAGCTAAAACACCTGAGGTGTCTGAAAAGCTGAGGCCGAGGAATCATGGGGCGGAGGACGTCCGGTACAGCAATTCTTAGATTGAATTTTCCAGCTGCAAGGATATCGCAGATATGTCCAAATTTGGAACCCTTGTCACGTACAGCCTGTACGTTACAGGAGTTATCCTGAGCAGCGAACTTGACCGGCTCTGGCAGTATACAAAAGGTAACAACGATGTCTGAGGTGTGTCCCGCATATGCACCGTTCTTTGGCTTCGCAGGCGTTGCTGCCTCGGTGAGACCTACCGTCGTTGTTCCCTGGATGCGTTCACTAACACGCTGCGGAACTAGATGGTGTTCAGCAGTGCGTAACGTTGCTGTTCTGAGCAAGTGACCGAAGCTGATGTCCACATTATACTCTTCTTACCAACCGCTATTCTTCGGATGGGTACAACTCTTGCAATGACTACATATTTATAGCTGTCGGGGCCGCGTTGGGCACGTCCAAAGCTGGGATTGGCATAGCAGGTCTCGGGACGTTTAAGCCAGAACTCATCATGAAAGTGAGTATACCTAGTGCCATCTTTGAAGGCCAGAAGCTTATGCACCTTCGGTACTGTCAGTCCCTCATCCCCGTAGTCATGTCCGGTATCATTGCGGTGTATGGTTTAGTGGTGTCGGTCTTGATTGCAGGAGGACGTACGTCTTCGCTTCTCTTGCCTCCATCCCTCGGCTTACAAGTTCTTGTCTGCTAGTCGACCCTTCCAAAGATTACACCTTATTCGCTGGCTTCATTCACCTTGGTGCTGGCCTTGCGTGTGGATTTACGGGGCTTGCGGCGGGCTATGCCATAGGTTACGTGGGTGATTCGGTGAGTTCGCTTTACGTGGACGAACGATTGGTACAGTACGAGTTAATCCGGATCATTTTGATATTCGCAGTGTGTTCGAGCATATATCTACGAGTCTCGCGTGTTTGTATCGATGGTACTCATCCTCATCTTCGCCGAGGTATTGGGTCTTTACGGGTAGGTGTTCCTTCGACCTTGCCACGTACCTCCACTGATATGCACCTATACAACAAGGCTCATTGTTGCTTTGATCATGAATACGAAGGCGACGGAGGCACGATGCCCATAATCTTGTTCACGTTACAATTCACTATATACCATACAATACAATACTGAGGGAACGGGTTCACCGACCATGTATGCCACAAGAAGGAGTGGATGCACCTCAATGGCCCCTACTTGTGCTCCCTCTGCTGCTGCCGCTGGACGACGATGAAACGGACCGGCGACGGCGATGTGGGACACGCCGCTTGTGGTCGCGTTCCCTAGAGCGCGAGGCCTCCGAATCCGAGCCAGAAGATCCTGATCCTGATCCTGATTCTGAGTCCGACGCAGACGACGAGGAATCCGAGTCGGAGTTTGACCCAGAGTCTGAATCTGAATCTGATGAGTCGTCTGAGGAAGAGCCACTGGAGACATAGCGTTAGTTCACTCCAGGCCTGGGGCATCGATTGGCACCAGCGCACTCACCGTTTGGCACGTTTCCTGGGATGATCACTGGACTCCTTTTCAACTTTGGCCCTTTCTTTCTCCTTTGCGGACAGAATGCGATTCGCCGTGCCCGCCCTGGAAAATATCAGACGAGATACCACGTACGACTGATGATAATGCTCACTTAGTCTTAAACTCCTCGGGCACTTCGACCGACGGCTTGCCGTCTGCCTTCAGCTTAGCCAACGCCTTCGGATTCTCCAGCTGCTGAGTACGGGAAGGTCGGCTCAGGTAGGGCCGAGCGGTCGATTTGCACTGGTACGTGAAATGACCCGTACCAAGACATCTCTGGCACACTGTCGATGAAGTAGCCTGCGGATTGTTATAGGACCTTCGGTGGGGAGCGTACTTGGACATGGCAGGGAGTCAGCGAGGTATGTGTGAGTTGAATGTAGACGTCGGTAGCCACAGCATAGCATTGTATTACATAATATTTTATGCTGTCAAATAAACCTACAAATAATGACATATCAGAGTCTTATCCTTCGCTCTCATTCATTCATAGCATTGGCCATGCCCGAGTCATGGCTTTCACACTCAACGCTCATGGGCCCTCGATCTGCCCGATATAAACGCTGCTGAGGATGGTGCTGTGGCAACTAGTCGTCACATTAACCCCCCAAACGGTACCATGGGTGGTAAAGCGTTCTCTCAGACCTTGCCTCCCGAATCGTTCCCTCGCATGTCCCATGCGACGTACGACCGTCTCAAATCATTGTACCTTCATCGTCTTCGCGATCTATATGGCGTCGTCGAGGTTCCACCTGAGGATCCCGAGAAGGATGACCACGGGGACCTTGATTACCTCGTTGCTTTCCCCAGAGATGGTCTCACACCTGCTGACGTGAAGGACGCCCTGGGTGCTGTTGAGATCATTTTCAGAGAAGGCAACGAGACTAGCCACTATGCCATCCAGGCTGATGAGGACGGGCACTTCGTTCAAATTGATGTGCATGCTTGTTCCGGCAGTGACATGCTGGAGCGCATCCTTTTCTATCACTCCTATGGAGGGATCGGTATGATGCTCGGCAGAATAGCCAAAAGCATCAGCATGACACTGAGTATCTCCACATTAAAGGTGAGCTCTGCCCTTCTTCAGCTGTATATCCATTTCTTCTAACGTTTGCGTGTTGTTGTACCATAGATCTCCCAGAGCGACCCCGAAGAATGCCACCCCGTCTCATTCAAGCTTTCGGACAATCTGGATGACATTCTTACCTTCTTCGGCTTATCTCTCGATGTGTGGAGGGCGGGATTCCGGACGAGGCGCGCCCTGTTTGAGTGGCTAGCATCGTCCCGGTACTTCTTTCCAGCACGACTGGCTACAGGACGTGTGGTTGAGAACAGCTCAGAAAGGCGTCGACTTACAAGAGACATCTATCACGCGTTCGGGGATTTTGTGGACGAAGTAGCAAGCTTGCAAATGCCTCTAGGTACTGACGAACTCATCCAAAGCCGTCGCTCTTCAAATAAGCAGATCCGGGAAGAGGCTCTACTATATTTTGGCAAGAAGTCTGAATACGACGATGTCATCCACGCTAATTGGGTGAGAATGCGTTTGAAGACGACTTTCACTGGGCTGAAAGTGGTCGAATGGACCAACCTATGGGGAAAGAAGGTCTCGGAGGTCATGAAGGAAACCAAGAGGCGTGTTGGAGGCGATGATGCGATGGCTCGTCTTGATGAAGAAGAGGTGAGGATCTGGGTACTTCGTGTGTACGAAGATCTTCGCCTGGTCTGGGATCGCGAGGAGGCGGAACAGTCGAAAATGACTCGTTAATAGCGCAGCATCACTCTCTGACTTCGGTGCTCAGGCAGCTCATTGTGTACTGGACTATTATCTCCTGTCATTTATTGACTGCGTGCGTATGTAGGAAGTTTGTTATGCAGAGCGCCGCCATTGTGACTGTAACTTGACGACGCGTCCTGCTTATCACGGGCTGTTCACGTGATCAAATCCAAGTCGCGCACGCAGCTCTCACGTCCCTGGGTGCCACAAGGTTCATCATCCTCCACCCCAGAGGGACGTGGAGTCTATCAGCGGTTCTCTTTTTTGCACTCAGCCGCGAACCTCAATAGCTAGGGCGCTCTATCAGAATGCCTGGTCATGAGAAGCACGCGACTAAGAAGGGGCCACGATTCAGCGGGCGCAAGCGAGGGGCAGCGATTCTTGAAAGTGACCACGTTGACAAAGACACGAGCACTGCCGGCTTCCCGAGAGAAGCAGACGATGGCAGAAAAAGAGTCAGATGGGGTAGCGAAGTCGAACAGAACGATGAAGACGAGCCGTCCGATGATGATGAGGACTCATCTACACCTCAGAAGGCAAGCAGTTTCACATTGGCTGTATAGCATTCATTGATCGGTAAAGCATGGTTAGATATGTCTGACCACGTGCTGTCAATTGTGAGTATCCGCCCTTGAGGAAGACTACCGCTGAACCACGCATATATGCATAGCGGGAGACTAGCTGGCGCACATTATGACCCGCTCCGATCAACGATTTACGTTCTAGAAGATACGCCAGACAATGGGCATTTTGACATGGCTCAGACACGTAAGCTCTCTCCTTCCGAGTTCAAATGGGACATGGCTAAATGATCAGTTCATGGCAGTCCTTGACCAGGTTAATCCTGATATCATCCTGACCAACTCCAAGACGGACGACAACTACATGGATCTACTTCGCAGTGCAAGTATGGACATTGTATTCATTCAGGACGCATATACTGACGTCGCTGGCAGTGGACAATTCCGGAGGAGTATTCCAGATCAGACCTCACAAAGATTTTACTTCGGCCAAAGGTCGAGACCGGTTGCTGTCATTGCAGTTCCTCTCGGAACTCTCAATGGAAGATGATGTCCGCAGCGCACAAGACAGTGACTCTTCGGCGTCGGACGCGAGAAACGCTTACAATTTTATGAGGCGGCGCAGAGATATCACAGGCGATCCGCTGATGAAGAAGTGGAACGCATCTATACGACTGTGCAATTTTGCGAGCCTTGACACCTCTCCCCTTTGCGTGAGTAATATCATACTCCACTTGTGCATACGATGGCAAGGAACAGTAAACCAGCTGGCTTGTATCGGTGCCTTGATAGATCACCTCGTCCGTGAGCGGGCGATAAGTGAGCTAGAAGATGAAGGCATCGGCGGATTGGATATCCGCGGTATAGAGCCTGTAGCATTGTGAGCTTCTGACGAATTTCCTGCCGATGGACTAACTCTCATGCATGCCAAGGGAGGAGGTCATGCAGATAAATGCAGATGCATTATAGTCAGTCGATTCCGCGCCGGTGACGCTGTCCTTAATCGTATACCCCTTTTGCAGCTCCTTACAGATCTTCGAAAACGAAAGTCACGCATCTATCCACTCGGATAAAACCAAAGAGGGTTTATCTCTGTACGGCACGTAGCACTCGGATGTCCATATTTCATGGGACGCCCTGAGACGGTCTTTTCAGGGATTCTAAACAACACCAAGACAAGTCTAGGACGCTCTCTCCTCCGTACCTGGTGCCTACGTCCGTCCTTGTCGCTTGAAACTATAAATGCTCGGCATGATGCTGTGGCTTGCTTTTTGAGACCGGAAAATCTGGGTACCGCTAACTCGATGCATAATCTCCTTAAAGGTATAAAGAACGTACCGAAGATCCTTTCCAGCATGAAAGCTGGGAAAGCAGGCATATCCGAGTGGCAATGTTTAGTCAAGGTGCATAGCGGCTATCATACGCCGATGATATCTGGCCCACTACTACCATTGGCCTTAGTTCACATTCTACTCCGCGTTACTGAGGGACGCGGTATCGGAACTATATCAGGGAACAACGGCGCCCATCGTATCGAAGGTAATGGGAGATCCTCATCCATTTGCTGTCACTTCTAATGGACGGACCTGCAGCTCATAGCCGCCCTGGACATCTTCAACTTTCGTGAAGTGGGCACTTTAGTCAACGATACAGTGCGTCTTTGAACGCATTGTACGCAGTGTAAGTATTGACCAGACGCGCTCAGATCGACTGGGAGGAGTCCACCAGTGCCGGCCGTGTGTGTGTTCGAGCAAATGTCGACGAAGATCTGGACAACCGCAAGAGAATTTACCATGGGATTGACGATGTCTTGGTTCGTTCGGTCTTGCCTATGCTGTTGCCAGCTTTTTGAAACTTTGCTATAGTCAAGGGTTGCCGAACAGATATGCCATACAGTGCCACCGGATTACGCTACGTCCCTGAACGTAGTATACTTCCCACAACTAGGTCTGTTCAAAGGCATGCTCGTCGACTGTATTGACCGAGTGCTTTCTCAGGCTTCTTGATATGTATTCCTATGCTGGAGCAATGGAAGAATAATGAAGAAATCACTGAGATTGAAGGATGGAGCTTCCAAGTCAGTTCCAAGCGACTTTCGGAAGTGATAATATTCGACTAATGCTCCTTTTCCAGTTTTCCTCCGAGTGAGTAATGCTGTCACAATGGGTCTCAGAACTGAGATAGGGGTTAGTGCGCATGTATACTTCAAATCCAAAGAAATGCATGGTGCGTTCCATTCTGTGCGGATAGCGACAGTTCTAAGACATCGGCAGACATGGATACTCACATTGGCGACTTGCATTCTGCTATCGTCGGTAAGAATCAGTTTCTTCAGATTCGACACGTAAAGACGTATTCTGTAGACCGGGAAATCGAGATCGTCCAAGTGCTGCTGGAGAAGATCTTACCACACTACGACATTATGGCTAAAGCGTGCGACACTTGCGCGGAGCTAGATTGCCTCTTGTCTTTCGCGCAAGCTTCTCGAGCATTCGACTATCGGCGGCCTCGAATGACTGACAAGAACATAGTCGACATCAAGATGGGAAGGTTCGTCTCATATCCGCCACACATCGTGCTGTTCCTGTGACGTCCAATATCACGCCAGGCACCCTCTACAGGAACAAGTTGTCGATACCTTCGTGCCCAATGACACACTGCTAGTTGGAGGACTGGGCTTGGGAGTGCCGAGTTGTACTAGTGAGGTATCTGACGATGATACAATGGAGGATGAGAGCTCTAGCGTGCATAGCGTGCTCGTCTGCACGGGCGCAAATGCTTGCGGAAAGGTGAGTACCTCCGGGGAGGGGGGGGGGTTGTAAGTGCCTCAGCTGAACACGTCCCACAGAGCGTCTACCTGAAGCAGGTATGATGTGATATCCTTCTTCATCAAACAGATATCAAATATTAACCGTACAACAGGCGGCCTTGATCCAATACATGGCACAAGTACGTCGGTCTCTTCTATCCGACACACCCCAGCAGGTCTGACAGTCGAAACAGATTGGATGGTGAGATCAGTTCTATTGCAGAATGACCCGGTGTTAATGGTGGCTTAGCTTTGTTCCTGCTGAAGCTGCGAAACTTGGCGTCGCGGACAAAAGTAAACTTTTCCTGCTCTAATAGCGCGCGTTCTCACGTATTTCGGGAGTCTTCACAAGGATCCAGACGCGAGAATCTGTATCAAGAGTAATCATGACCTTGCCTATGCTCGTTCGGCTGAGTATCTATCTTCTTCTCTGCTAGGTCCAATCTGCTTTTATGATCGACCTCAACCAAGTGTCTGTGGCTCTCCGGAATTGTACCAGCCGATCCTTAATACTGCTAGATGAGTTTGGCAAAGGGACTGTCCATACAGGCTCGTGATACTTCTTCTCTTGCTCCTTCGTTCTGGACGATATCTGAATGACCAATCTTTACTTGTTCTCTCCTTTTTTTCTTGCGACTCTGGACTCCATATTTCGACACTGCGGACGTCTCTCCTTGGCTTGTTCTCCGATCTCTAGACGGCGCTGGGCTGCTCTACGGCGTCCTAAAGCACTTCATCAACTCTGGCGCTGATTGTCCTAAAGTACTGGCGACGACGCACTTCCACGAGCTGTTCGCCGAGAATCTGCTGGATCCCCACTCCCTTCCTATCACCTTTGTCCACATGCAGGTCATGATCACTTCCAGCAGCGGTGAGATCCTCGAAGCAGGAACGCCGGACGAGACCAAGGACGAGGACACCCAGGATTTAAGAATGGTTGGTCCTGGAGAGAAGATTACGTATCTTTATAGGTATCAAAGTCACCTCTCTGGAGAGCGGATGCATTGAACCCTGTGTTTTCTGCTAGAGTTGCCCAGGGACTCGCGCTCGATTCCCATGCCGCGAAATGCGCCGAAATATTCGGTGTTCCCCGTCGAGTAGTGCAGAGAGCACAATACGTGACGTGCGTCTGGTGGCGTCTTCCCGTTCCTCACAACCCGAGATCTCACTATCTCCTTGTGCAGACAGCTCCTCTCGACCCATTCGTTGGGAAAGTTGCTTGACGAGGACATGACGGAGGCGGAGCGCGCGGATCTCGAAGAGGCGGAGGCCGTCTGCCGCAGATTCCTGGCATGGGACTTTACGGAGCGCGACCCGGCTAGGAAGGGGAGCGTCAAGGAGAGACTAGCGGAAGTGCTCGGGAAGCCCCTCGAAGAGGAATGAGGCGTAGTCGCCGTGAAATGATGTCCACCTCTCACGCGCGCGTCCTGTCCTCTTTCGTGTTCGTTAGATGAATGATTAGTGGCTGGGTGTTATACAGACAACGTTGTGTCTATCAAGTCCAAGATCGAGCCAATCTACCGCTCTCATACAAGTATTCTATTCATTTTCAACGTCAAGCCTTCGTTGGATCGCTCTCCTTGTGGATCTCGACACCAGGCGGTGCATTTAAAGCTGCGAAACATCTTATGAGCATATATTGCGGTACATTGAACTGGTACTTGCCATCTTTAATCCAGCCATAAAGTAAGAACTGGCCCGCGACCAAACCGGCTGTCATGACCATCCTCGGGCCCAGGCCCGCAAACAAGCCCTTGAACCCGGCTTGCTTTGCGAGGACTGTCAGGCGGTGGACCATGCTCCCCTCTGGCCCGTGGCCTTTATTTATCTGGGATAGCAGCGTATCCGCGGGCTGTCCACCAGCAATCAGCGGCATGCCCATGGCCAACACAATAAACGAATACCTGGCTCAACACCGCGGCCGCACACCCGGCCGTGATGCCGCTGCCCAGCGAAATCCCAAACTTGTGCGTGGGCGACAGGCTGCGCTTGGTCTCCTCGGACATGGCGCGGTACGCGAGCTCGTGGCAGAGCTCGTTGACGGTGAACTGGCCGATGGCGTACGGGATCTGCTTGCAGAGGATGGGGAGGAAGCCCGCGTAGAGCTCGCGCAGGCCGCCCTCGCGCGCGAGGCGGGTGAAGCCGGTGACGAGCCCCGAGGCGTAGCCGCGCTCGGAGACGAGCCGAATGCGCGTGGCTTCGAGGGGCGTGAGGAGGATGTCGGCGAAGAATCTGTGCGCGCGCCCCGCGTCAATGTTCGGGGAGCGAGGATACGTGCGTACACGCTTACTCTGCGACGCTCGCGGCGCCGAGGTAGATCGCGGTGCGGTACTTGACTGCGTCCTCCTGGCCGCCGACGGCGCGCACGAAGGTGGTCTTCCAGAACTCGTACCCGGCGAACTTGGCGCCGCCCTGGACGAGGTAGCCGACGGCGGTGGGCCCGAAGCCGGTGAGCAGCGCGGAGGGGCCCTCGTTGGCGACGATGGAGCGGGTGCCTTTGATGAGGGAGGAGCCGGTGAGGGCGGGGTCGACTTGGATGCGTGTCTTTACGACGTCAATGGCTGTGTGATGGAAAGGTTAGGTTAGGCGGGCGAGGGTGGACCTGGAAGGGGGCGTACGCGTCATGGCGCCATGGGTTACTCTGGTCGTCGGTGAGCATGACACGGTTTAGGATGATGTATGAGCAGACGTACGTGCAACATAGCGCTCCTGTAGTTTCAACATAACCACGTCAGACATATATTATATTACGGGCAAGATACTTTGCCTACCGGCCAGAAAGAACGAGGAATAATCCTTGACCGTGAACTGGGGGACGCCCGAGTACGGCGTTACAGGCTTCGACATTGGGGGCAGGTCACAGAGCGACTATAGCTAGTAGTGTAAATAAGGAGCATGTTGATACGGTGCGCTCATAGCGGGAGCGTGCCCGTGGAATGCCGACTCGCAGCGAGGTACGCCGTGACGTCACCGCCCATCTCCTCCATAATCGCGAGGTGGCTGTGCTAGCCATGCTCATAATTAGTTTGCGTGGCTTTTCTTGGATCGAACGCTCAGATGACTGCGCTTGTGGATGAGTAAGACAGGGCTGAGAGTCGCAGGCCACACGATGGTCTCCATTATAAACGCGATATCTGTTGGCCTCTTTCCCCACCGCTCAAGTTCAACTTCAACTCGCAGGTAACGCTCAGGTACCGCCATGTCCAAACCCGTCGTTGAATTCGTCTACTTCACCGCGTCCGACGCCTACAAGGCCGACGACTCTCTCATTGACAGTGCCGTATCTGCCGTTGTCCGCGCACCGGGGTCGCAAAAGTGAGTCGACTGATACCCCTCCGCCTTCTGAGCACGACGCTGATCCGCCGCGTAGCTTATTCCGCGGGATACAGACCGAGGATGGCGCAACTCTCTACATTGCCGTGGGTGCGTATCCGCACCGGACATCTTCTCATGCCCGCTTGAATAACCGCCGCGGCCCTGCTAGCTTGGGACTCCATAACGTCGCACGAGAACCTCATCAAGAACGAGGCAGAATACACGCCGCTCGTCTCCGTCCTCCAGCGCGCGATCGCGCCCTCCGCGGCGATGGCGATGCTCCACGCCGAGTTCAACGACCACGCCGCCGCGGTGCGCGCGCTCGCGGACCCCGCGACCGAGCTCGCGTTCTTCACGCTCAAGAGCCCCGACGAGGCTGCGGTCCTCCCGGCGAAGATGGCTGCGCTGGAGAAGGAGCTCGAGCACGCGCCTGGGAGGAGGTCGTATACGTGGGGTAAGGTCGTAGAGAAGGAGGATCAGATTTTGCTGATTATTGGGTGGGATTCGGTGGAGGTGAGTATGGTTAGCGAGACGGGTGGAGATGGTTCTGCTGACTGTTGGGGTTTCGACAGGCCCACTGGGACGCATTGAAAGTGGACAAGCCCTTCGCCGATGCGGTTGCTTCGGCCAAGGAGTCTGTGAACATTGACTTGGTCCATGTGCATTTCCAGGAGTTCAAGCCGTAAAGCACTATGGCATTAACACAAGTCCCAGTCAGGGCTATCACTGTAATTTTACCTCTGCATGGTTGATGGGTGTATCCACAGACTCCGTTGCACCTATCGGCGCCATACTCGATTTCATGCGTTCTATTTGGTAACATCTAGTTTCTGCGTCCCGAACATGACGACCGGTTCACTTGATAGGGAAGCGTATTAAACTCTGCGACGTCCATGAACCACATAGCTCAGTACCAGTCATACGCGCGGGGCGAGTGAGGCACTCGTACCCTGGACAGCTTCTTGTGGGCTCGTAAGATAAGCCGCTATGACCAATCCGATAAGTCATCCTCGAAGCGTCAAGGTTGATGTGAGTCACCTATCACTTACGCCCCAGTCAGATTAAAGCGCTGGAGTTTACTGCAGAGCAATATTTTGCGCTAAAAGGAGTGTAGTCTACAACGTTGGCAAGGATGGGGTCTGCTGGAGATCTTGCCGCGTGACACTGAAACTGATAATGAGTCGCGTCGCGTCACGTGCTGGATGTCACACCTTCGCTCCTCCCAAGGCCCCTCTCCCAGGTATCCTGCATACATAGCTTGTACATTAGTCTCGGATCGCCCGTCAGGTAGATATCCTCCAAAACGCGAATCCTACGCTCGAGGTTATCGAACCTCGGGAGATTTGATTTGACGATCGCCCTTCCGGGAACCAAAGGCGGTGTGTCGCGGGGCTGATGCCGATGGACGATCGATTGGATACGCCCACGAATATTATATGATAATCCGGCATCCCAATGGCTGTTTATGTCGCTCTGACCGCTCGTCGCCACCTCTCAACAAACGACTCTGTACATTTCTCTTCAGATTCCTCATATTCATCTTCAGACCTATAACCCGGTAGCGCTCTTAACCTCGCCAACCAAGTCATGGCACCCGGCGTCACCCAGTTCGCCATCTTTGCTGCGAGCGAGGCGTACCGCGAGAACCCGGAGGTGCTCAGGCCGGCGCAGGAGTTGCTGGCCAAGGCGCCAGGGTGGCGATAGTGAGTCTTCCCTCAGCCCGAATGCACGGATGTTGAGTTGGATGTTTCTCCCGCTGGCTATTTTATTGCTGCCGTAGTACGTACCACGGCCTGCAGAGCGAAGACAACGCGACGGCGTATCTCCTGGTCGGTGCGTGTAGTGTCCCCGACCGTCCGAGTGTTACTGGGTGGGCTCACGAGCGGGGCGGATGAACGCCATCGCAGGCTGGGACGACCTCGACTCGCACCGCGCACTAATACGCACGCCCGCCTCCTCCGAGGCCCTCCTCTCCGCGCTGCAGCCCGCCATCCGCCCGCGCTCCTCCTCCCCCTCGCCCACCCCGTCGCTCGCCTCCCCAGCGCCCTCCTCCACCCCCTTACCCACCAGCACCAGCACCAGCACCTCCGCCCCCACGCCGAAGCCCCCCGACATCGACCTCTTCCACATCCAGTTCCACATCGCGCCCGCGCGCGCGCTCGCCGCGCCGTGCACGCAGATCGCGCTCGTGCGCGTGCGCAAGGGCGCGACGGACCGCGACCGCGGGCGCCTCACGGGGCTCATGGTGCACCTCGAGAAGGTCGTCAGCCAGGCGCGCAGCGCGTGCTCGTGGGGGCCCAGCGTCGACCGCGAGGGCGTGCTCGCGTTCGTCGCCGGGTGGGAGTCGCCTGAGGTGCGTGGGTCCTTTCAGCCCCCCCCCCTTCTTTGTTGAAGTGTGGATAGGATGCTGATGTGGTGTTGTGGCGGCGACAGAAGTACCAGGACCTCGTGCGGAAGAGCGACGAGCTCGCGGCGATCGCGCGCCAGATCAGCGAGATCGCGGACCTAGACGTCAAGCACGCACGGCTATCCTTATTATCCTCCGCATAACGCGCGGACATAGATTCGTCCATCCCTCGGACGCCGCACCACGTATATAGCACCCAGCGCCGCCGCATGTATGCATGGAACCCGATCTGTATTAGCACAGTGTATCTTGGAGCTCGAGCCCCCCGCCGTATCTTACTAGTATCTATCTCTCGTACCCGCCCTGCTCGGACTAGTCGTACTTGCTCCAGTTGGTTAATAGAATAAATTCGATCTCCCTGCTCGGGGAAACCAGGCAACACATGATCAAATCCCACCACACCACTAATGTGCACCTGCCTGAACACCCCCACCTCACCCTCAGCGCCCCCCACCCGGCCCGAACAAAAACCTGACGGTCCCCTCATTCCGCCCCAGCAGCGCGACCTCGCCCTCCGCGCCCGCCCCCCTCGGCCTGGGCCGCGGCGGGTGCTCCGTCTCGCGCATGTGGATCTTCAGGCGCATCAGCTGGTCGTGCTTGTACGGCGCGGGCGGGAGCGGCTGCTGCTGCGTGTGCCGGGAGGAAGGGGTGGGGAGGTGCGGGGAGGGCGAGGAGGGCGAGGGCGTGGAGGGGAGCGGGTTCTGCGCGTGCGAGAGGAGGAGGTCGATCGTCTGGTGGGCGATTTCTGGTGGGGCCAGGGGTCAGGCCTAGGTATAGCGGCGGGGTGAGGGAGGGAGGAGTACCTTCGATGTCCTCGACGCGCGCCTGGAAGCGGTGCTCCCAGTCCCCGTGGTTGCCGAGGATGTCGACGATCTGCTGCGGGGTGTTGGACTCCACCTTGCCGTTGCTGGTGTCGACGTCGGCGGCGCGGAAGGCGGGGGAGGACATGCCCTGCTCGAACGACGAGAGCAGCGCGGCGAGGTAGAGGCACCCGAGAGCGATCTCGTGTGCGGGGTAGGAGAGCGTCACGGGTGTTCGGTGGCTATGGCGAGTTGAGTCAAGTCACGGAGGACGGGAGGTGGGGAGTACCTGTCGACGGCGAGGCGCCACGCGAGCTTGGTGAGCTTCTTGGTGGCGCGCAGCGCGCGGCCGATCTTGATGACGTACGGGAAGGGGAGGCGCGAGGTGAAGTTGAAGCAGATCATCTCGAGGATGAGGCGCTCGACGGCGAGGAGGCGTTGTCGGTCGTTCTCCACGGTCTACCCACATTCATCCAGGATTAACCAGATGGAGGAGGAGGGGACAAGACATGACGCACGTTGGGGTCCATGTCGACTTCGCCGCCGAGGGAGCGCGACTTTGCTGCGAGCTCGGGGAAGCGGACGGCGTAGGAGACCATGAGGAGCTCGCGGGGCTTCTTGAGGGTGTCGTGCATCTTGGTGGAGACGTAGAGCGCGGCGAGGGAGACATCCTGTGCAGAGGGTGGGTCAGAAGGGCATACCCACGAGCAGGGATGGCTACGGACATGGTAGCTAAAGTCTTTGCGAGGGAAGAAGAGGTGGAAGCGGTGGTAGAGGTTCTGCGCGGTGGCGATCGTCTTTCGAGGGCTAACGTCGCTTAGTGAAATACACATGAATATGGCCCAGACGACTCACAAACCGATCTTTGCGCCGATGGCCTCGATGAAGCTGCACGCCTGCTGCCGGGAGCGCTCCTCCTGCGTCACGGACAGCTTCCCGCGCTGCTTTTCGGACAGCCGGTCGACTTCGGAGGGCGTAAAGTACGGGTGGTGGTGTTTGGACTGCGACGCGGGGGTGCTGGTGTCTGCCATGGCAAGTGGATGAAGAGAAGGGGTTGGGCTAAACACATTCCTGGGGGTAACGTCATTGGCTGGCGTGTTGTTTCTTTCGCCATGTCTACGTTTGTCGCGCAGCAGACCGACGGCCTCATCCTATCCACTTTCCCCGGCAACGCCTTCGCAGTACAGTCCACAGTCACCGCCCGCACAGAGCATCTGAATGCACTTCTCCTGGCCCTCAAACCACCTTTGTCACCAGATACTCTGCGCGACACGGTCGAGGGGCTTCAGAGGCTGGAGAGCGAGACCGACGGCGCAGAAGATGCTGCCATACGGATAGCCGTCTTGGGCAGGCTCACGGTCGGGGTATATGCTCAGGCGCTCAGTGCTTACCTAGAGCAAGCGAGCGAGGCTGAAGCTGAAGCCGAGTGGTGGAGCGACATTGAGCGGTCGAGGCTGGACGCTGCCCGGTACTTGCTGCAGAGTACGTCAATAGACAGACGAACAACCTCCTCACAAACTCAATTATCTGTAGCACTCCCCGTTCGCCTAGCCAGCCTGGCTCGGACCGTCGTACACACCATCCGCTCCGAGTCTCACTCCCTGTCCACGCGCCAAGTCACCCCCTCGTCCGTCCTGCACACCCTCCGCTCCCTCGCGCACAGCGCCAGCCCCCTCCGGCCCAACCTCCTCACCACCTCCCTCTTCCCGCACCTCCACACCGACCCCCACCTCCTCACCTCCCTCTCGCTCCCCCTGCCCACCTCCGTCTCCACCGCCTCCCTCCGCACAACCCTGACCACGTGGCTGCACACCATCCTGCACACCCTCACCCTCCCCATCTCGCTGACCCACCAGGAATGCACGCTCAAGCGGCAGCAGCTCGACAAGATCAGGAACGAAAAGGCCGAGCGCCTCGGCGCGCTGAGCGGGATGCGCCCCCAGCTCGAAAAGGCGCTCAAAGACGGCGACGAAGCCGAGCTCACCTCCTTCGTTACAGCCATGCAAAGTCTCGTCGTGCCCACGGCCTCTCCCTCTGCGCAGGCACTTGCCGCCTCCCTCTCCACGCTCACCGCCTACACCCCCGCCCCCGTCCCCGCCGCGCTCCGCCGCCCCCCGCGCCTCACGCTCCTCTGGCCGCGCCTCGTGCTCGGCCCGCCGCTCGCGCTCTTCGCGGTGCGCCGCCTGTACGCGTCGCGCGCGAGCCTCACGGAGCTCGCAGGGCAGGCCGCGGACACGCTCCGCGGGTTCTGGCAGGGCTGGGTGCTCGAGCCCGTGCGCGATATCGTGCGGACGGTAAGGGCGGGCGGCGAGGGCGGCGTGATCGTGAGGAAGGAGGGCGTCGAGGCGGATTTGCAGGTGCGTCTGTCTTCCTCTCCCTCGGATGGCTGGCTGAGGAATGAATGGTGGTGCGCGGTAGTCCCTGGAACGCATGGTGGTGGCGCTCGCTAGGGACAAGCTGGGGTACGGCGCGCAGCAGCTGGACGCGCTCGCGGGCAAGGTGCGCGTCGGGGACCTGACGCCCGTGATGGAGATCTACGAGGAGGACATCAAGAGCCCGATCCGGAGCGCCGTCGCGGGCACGCTCGTGCGCAGCCTCTTCGTGCAGGTGCAGAAGGCCAAGGTCCGCGCGCGCCCCCCGCATCTCACGTTGCTCATCGCGCGCTGATCTTGTGGGTGTGGACAGGTGGACATCGACCAGGCGCTCTCGGGCATCGACAAGCTGCTCAAGAGCCAGGAGCTCACGTTTGCGTTCGTGGGCGTCGCGCCCGCGCTCGCGGTCGTGTACGGCGCCGCCGGCGCGCTGCTGCGCGTGTGGACGGGCGGGCGCGGCCGCGGCCGGTTTGGCGGGGCGCAGCGGCGCGCGGGCGTGCTGGGCGACGTGCGGCGCGTGGAGCGCCTGCTGATTTTCCAGCCCAAGGGTGCGTCGGCCCGGCCGGACGGGGAGGGGCAGGAGATCCCGCCGCTGACGACGGGCTTGCTGCTGCTCTCGCTGACGCGCCTCCGGCGGTACGCGGAGACGCATCTGCCGAGGGGGAGCAGGCTGCGCGAGGGGTTCTTGGAGGATGTGAGGGATTTGGAGGACCCGCTGTTGGGGAGGCGGGAGAAGCTGAGGGTGGTGGAGAGGATGTGGAGGTGCTGGGGAGGGCTGCTCGGGTGGGGGGAGGTTAGTGCGTAGGTGCTGAGAGCTGAAACGACGTCACTGTATTTTATCCGCTCCGTAAATGTACTCTTACTCTTGCAATAATGATAGCAATCCAAGGTTTTGTAAGATACATGTGTTGATTGCTGACAACTATGAGATACACGATACGAGAGCATCACAAAAGCATTACGACGAGAGACGGCGTTACAAGCTCTTGGATATGATACCTTGCATTTGGTTACTTCTCCTCATCCTTATGCGTCTCATCGCGGATCCCACCCTCCGCAAAGTTCAAAATGCCCGCCATATCCAACAGCTGCACGACCTGCTCCGCCTCAGCCACAGGCATGCTCCCAAGCACCTTGTTCACCTCCTCGAGCGAGTTCTTGCGCAGCGCCTCCTTCATCGGCTCCTCGAAGCCGTCGAACACGTCCCAGCGCATCTGCAGCGCCTTGCGCACCTCCTCGACGTCGAGCTCCTCCGTGCCGGGGCCCTCGAGGCGCAGGTCCTCCGGCGGCGGCCCATCGGGCACGTTGAACGTGATCGTCTGCTCGGGGTTCTCGGGCACGAGCTGGATCTGCTCCTGCGCCTCCGCGGCCTGCTGCTCCTTCGTGACGCGCACGCGCTCGACGAGGTGCCTGTACGTGTCCTCGACGTCCTTGGCGAACACCGTCTCCGCGCGCTTGTCGCCCGCGATCATCCTGCGCGGCGCGGCGCGGTCAGCGTCGGCGTGGACAGGGGGAAGCGGGAGGGGGTTGGCTTACTTTTGGAAGAAGAGGCGCACGCCGTCCTTGCCGAGCTTGTCGCAGTACTGCAGGAGCAGGCTCTGGTGCACGCACTGCTTCGCGTACGCGTGCTGCCCGGCCGACTCGGCGTTGAAGGCTGCGACGAGCAGCGCGTCCGACGCGCCCGGGACGACGACGTCGCGGTGCGCCTGGATGAAGTGGAAGGACTCTTCGTACCCGCGGATCGGGAGCCTGGAGAACTCCTCGAGCGAGGGCGTCATTTCGGGGAGCTCGATGTCCTCGTCGTCCTCTGCGGCGGCGGTGGTGGAAGGGGTGGAGGAGGAGCCCGCGGAGGAGGAGGCTGCGTTGGGGTTGAGGACTTCGATTTCGGTCGTGGTGGTTTTCTTCTTGGGTTTGTCGGGGATTGCGCCGGGGACGGGTGGGGGAGCGGGTTTGGGTGGTACATACTGGATTCATGGAATTGAGCGGTGCGAGCAACGGGCGAGGAAATAGTGGAACATACGTGGTTCTCCCAGCCCTCTTTGATATCCTCGCTCGTGATCTTCTTCTTCTGCTCTTCCTCCAGATCGTGCAGCTCCTTCCGCAGCTTATCGTTGTGCTCTCCTAGCCGCTTCACGTGGGCGTCCAGCTCCGCGACGAGCGTCTCGCCGAGCTTCGGGTCGTCCTTCGAAAGCCCCTTCTTCTTCGCCTCCTCGTACACTTGCAGGAGCAGGCTGAGGATCATCGCGTCGTACGTCGGCTGGTTGGGCGCGTTGGTCGGCGGGGCGTCTGGCGAGGGGTCGTTCCGGAGCTTGTCGACGAGGGACGAAAAGTAGCCGGGCCCATCTGAGGAGACTTGGTCCCGGATGGATATCAGGCGCGGGTGGAGGACTTCATTGCAGGCGATCTCGGCCTTGATGTGCGCGATGCGCTGCTTGCGGGCTTCGCGCTTTTCGTGGATGTCGCGTTGTTTCCATCTGCATTGCGATCAGGCGCTGTGCAGGAGAGTAGGTGAGTCGACGCACCGAATCAGCGAGCGCTTGTCGACGTTGGGATGCCCCTCGATGTCCGAGTCGTCTGAAAGCTGATGCGTAATGGCGTACGTCAGAAGAACGGAAGGCGCTGGACTTGGCAACACTTGCCTCGAGGTTATCCCACTTTGAGTAGTTTAGGGGCATGCTCTACCTTGCACTCTTCTGTCTCTGTTGTCGCAGCTGGTTGAAGTCGCGGAGACTAGGCGCTGGATACTTGGATCGATGCTGCACTTCAGACTCGAATAGAGTCTTTCTACCAACTGGGAAGCTTCTGGAAGGCGCTGGACGAGTCTGCATGCATCACTGCTTCTACTGAGCATGTCTGCTATGGAGTCATTCTGACAGCGCAGGACTCGGTGTAGCGGGAGAATCACAACGTCGGGCAACCGACGCCTTCGATATCGCTATCGTCGGGGCATCGGGCAGCACTAGCTGGACGGACGGCGTCGGACAGTTTTGCAGAACACATCATGCGTTATCCACATCAATCCACATTGCTTCGGTGACACCGTGCTAGACATCAGCGCGTAGGCAGATGCGTGAGTGTGTCGCCGTCAACGCTGTCGTTGGCCGCTCTAACATCGACGCCTGCAGCAGCGTCCCAACGGCGGCGAGACCGCGGTCCGACAGCGTCCGCGCAGTCTCCGTGGCTTCGGGATCCGGAGCCGGCGGGAGGCGTGTATTGGGGCTCGGGAGACGCCGAAGGCTGTGCGATTGTCCGGGCGTTGATTACCCAGAAAGGGAATATTCCATGGCCCTGAAACGGAACGACCGATCGGTGCCTGAGAATTTCAGCGATGCACGAAGCGGGCCCAGAGGAAAGTTCTCGCGCGCGACGTAAACGACCCGTGAATCGTTCGCAACTCGTCCCCGCAGGCCGCGAGCTGCGTCTGTCCATACCAAGCTTAAGTCTTACGCGATCGTACCTGTATTGTATTATATGTCGCGCCTCTGACTTTCGTCTTTCTTGTCATGCACCACATCCCTGCTCACGTATAGCTCTGTCACCGCCCCGCTCGAGGATGCTCAACCCGTACCCGACCCGCCTGCGCTCCCAGTCCACTCCCGCCCGTCCCCGCCTGGCCCGCGCGGACTCGGATCGCCCGGCGGCCCCCAAGCAAGCCCCCGCGTCCCCCTCCGTCCCCGTCCCCGCGCCCTCCCCGCCCAAGCCAAAATCCCGCCCGCTGACCTTGTTCGCCCCGGGCGCCGCCCAGCTCGTCAGGAAACTGACACCGCGCAGGAAAAAGTCCCTTCACCCCAGTCCTGACATCCCCCCGCCCGCGGAAGACGCCGTTCCCCCCCCTCCTGCACGCCCCCCTCGCAATCCAGCACGTCCCGGCCCCGTAAAGAGACCGTCTACGTCGTCTGGGGTACCGCGCTCTCCCGCGCTCTTCCCAACTTTGCGACCATCCACATCATCCGGTGAAAAGCGGACAATCATCGTTGGGGACGCTATATCACCGAGTGGGGGGGCGATCACTCCGTTTGCCGTAAGTGGACCCTTTCCATTCAAAGGACCTAAAATACGATGCACAATATTTCCAGTCGTTCTCGGACCTTCGGACGACGGTGCACCTCAAGCGCAGATCGAGCACGGCAAAGAAGGCGCGAGCCCCGGAACTAGACGTGAAAGGGCGGACCTCAGGGAACGAGACCCGGAGCCGCAGCTCAAATGCCACCTCGTCCATTTCGGAGCACAGCAATAAGGACTTTAATTTGTCGACGCCAGACAGGGCGATCCTGCAGGAGTTAAAGCGGAGCATCGCGGCCCGGGACGCCCAGTTTGTCACTAGAGGAGGAGAGAAGCACCATCCGTACCCAGCCAAGGAGGTGCCGTATCCGAGGAGCTACGAGAGACAGGTGGTGGATTTGTGAGTAGGATCTCCCGAGATGCTCCACTTGACTTTGACGCGTGGGTCACGCTTTAGTGATGTATGGGAAGGTCAGTTTGTGCAGCAGGTATGCGGGAGCGTGACTTGGCATGTCTTCGACACGCCGCCAACGAAGGTGTACGTGCTCACTATTCTATACCATTTGTATTCCATTAACCGCTCATCACAGACTCGATCTGGGATGCGGTAGGCCAATCTATCCTATAAACCTCGAATGTTCCGTTGATACATCACAGGAACTGGAACATGGGTCTTGGAATGTGCCAAAACATGGAAGGTTAGCCGCTCATTAAATTCATAGGCATCAGTTTGTTGACGCAGGCATGCATAATACTTGATGTCTATCAGAAATGTCACTTTGTTGGTCCGTCGTGGCGTCGTCCCTGACGATCGTATGGATTTGGTGTAACTGTGCATGCAGGTTTGGACGTTGTGCCGCTCCATCCTGACCTTCCGCAAGTGGGCTCCTCGGATCTCGCGTCGAGGATCACTTGGGTGCAAGCCAATTTGTACGTAGGGAATCATTCATTCAGTCTTCCAGCCGGCTCACTGCTGACGCGTCAATTCAGTCTCGAAGGACTCCCGTTCCCCAATGAAGAGTTTGACTTTGTGTGAGTACCGAGCGTGCATACGGTGCGGTGATGCCACGGGCATCTGACTTGTGAATTGGGTCCTAGGCATGTCAAGCGGATAGCCCGCGGAGTGCCAGAGGATAAGGTGCGTCCGCCCGCTGGTGTTCACATGGCCCGTCGCTCATTCCTAGTGCCGGTTGTGATGTAGTGGGATTCTCTGTTCGAGGTATGGTAGTTTCCTCATCCCTCGCTCTCGTGTTTAATTATCGCCTCCTTTCTTCAATAAGGAAATATCACGCGTCATGAAACCTGGTGCTGCGTTCGAGGTGCGCGACATCTCAACAGCCCATCGTCCACGTACTGACTAGCGCGTCTGCTGGCCCCGGGTATATCTAAGATGATTGAGGAGGATCTGTATTTCCCCGGGGCCGCACGCGACACGTCCATTTCCAAGCTGCCCACCCCGGCCGCGCAGACGGTCCCCTTGTCGCCACACGAGCAGATTAGTGCGGAGGGCACTGCGCGTCACATGTACCCGCCCCCTTCTAGCGGCGGTGGCGTTCCATTTGATACCGGTGAGTGCAGTCCATTCCAGTAGCCGCGGTCCGGGTTTCCTAGGGCGTGGGAAAGTGGGAGGCCGGACGCTCTGCTCGCACTCTCTCATTTCTTCTGGATGTTGCGTGAATAGAGTACTCACGGAGGTATTCTTCCCCTTCTTTCAGGCTCCAGTTCCAATGTGTCCGGCGAAGCTGGACCTTCGTCGCCGGCGTTCCAATCAGAAGCGCCACCACAGAGTCCCTCTGGTGATGAGCGCCCCACCTTAATTGTACCAAGACCTAGAGCGACCTCCTTCGCTGAGGCTCCGGAGCCGCAATCCGTCTCTGACTTGGTCCGCACGTCCCCCAAAGCCCCGGTTAACCCGCGGGACCACAGCCTACTGGAAAAGATCTACACGGAAATGCACTCGTCCCGATTTATCAACCTCGCGCCGCTCTCTCTCCTAGGGAATTATTTATCTTCGTATTTTAAAAGTAAGTTGGTCATAATTAGGCTTTTAGCGTTGCCCACTGACCTGGCCCGGGTTCGCAGATATTCGCACGCATCCGCCTATTATTATTACGTTCCCCCCGCCGGTAGGGGCCCTAGAGCAAGAAGGCCTCGCGAGGCCTAGAGCGTACCACGATGACGAGTACTCGTCGTCCGCGTCATCCTCGGACTGGGACGATGACGGGTACGTGCTAGACAAGATAGATCGTCGCGCGCTGAAGACGGCGTTGTCGGGCAATCGGCGGCGAAAGTCCCGGAAGGCGCCCAGTGCGAACCGGTTGTCCACGTACCTGTCTTCGGAGGAGCTGGACCGCCGCACGCAGCCGTATGTTAATGTGGACAGTGCGCGAAGGATAGCCCTCGCGCCGTCGACTCGAGCGTCGATATTGGTTAGCGACGATCCTGAGCATCCGTCTGTGTTTTCGGCGCCGCCGCCCTCCGCGTTCCATCCCCCTGGCCCTGAGCAGTACGACGCGGATTCAACTCCCTCGGATTCGGCTATAGATCTCTCGTCGACGCTCGGCGTCGAGTTTGCTTTCGATTCTCCTAGTATTTCGCCCTCGCAGTCCCATTCGCACCTCCGGCGTAGATCCCAGCTGCCCAACAAGACGTTCAACTTTGATTTGCAGTCGCTGAATCTCCACCTGGCTGCGCGCGTGGCGGAGATCGTTGCTTGCTCCGAGTCGATGTGGAGCTGGCTAGTCGAATACCAGGAGTCAAGCCGTGACTCGACCGTCCGTCAAGGTAAATCTGCTAGCGACGATGATATCAAGCAGGCTCTGTTGAGCCTGACTAGATCTGAGTTTGACAATCTCATCAATCAGTTCGAGCTGTGAGTGGTATTTAGGCAGTCGTTTGGATGTCTTATTCTGATAATATCTTCTGTCAGTGATATGTCGGATTACACCATGCTAGGTTCCCTTTTACAACAGAGATGTGACTGGCGCATGCCGTCCATACAGCGGACGCAGGTCCGCAAAGCTTTCGACATGGCTTGCAAAACCTGGGACGAGCATTGGAAAGCTCGTAACCTACGAGAGCGTGTGCACTCTTCCGCTCACCCGCCCCCGTCGTCCTTCCCGGAGAAGCTGAACGGGGCTTCCGGCGACATCAGGAGGAGCAAAAGCGATGCCTCGAGGCGGAGACGGCCCAGCAATGCGCACGGTACGGTGCCGCCGGAGCGTCCGTCCCCTGCTCAAGGCAGCCAGGGACCGTTCTTCATTGGCGACGATCCTTCGCAAAGGCTCAGCCGGACGCTACGGGTGTTTGTTGCGTGGAAACCGTGATTCGCCTTTCGCTACCGCGTCGGCTCTGTAGATCGGCCAAATTTCCGACCGTCTAGAGGACATTCTATCGTTATGACTATTAACGTCCTATTTATGACTTTGTTTGTTCTTCTATGTATTGACCGCCCAGGATGTCTTGCTTCGTAGGAATCAGATACCATGTACATACATACCTGTTGTCACCCCTGTACCGGCGCCAGTGGAGTCTTTTTCTGTAAGCTATAGCTCAATCAATGTTGCTGACCCAGTGAGCATATGCGAGACATCGCGGCAATTCATCAAGATACTATTAGCAGGATAGCAGAGTACGTACGATATGCAAGATCTATAAATATGTAGTAGGCTAGATATACCGTCCTCCGTGTTTGATAGACTTCAACTGCGACAAGGCGAATATAGTTACTGCGCATGGCTGCCCGCCGCTATCGACCAAAGGTACCTCATTGCGGGGAACAAGATGCGTCTTGTGGGACTGATAATGGGGAAGATGACCATCCCACCGGCGAGGCCGCGAACGTGCCATGCGTCGACTGTGTAGGGGGTAAGTGACGTGCGAGCAGAACCTACATTGAAGCGACTTACCAGCCGGCTGACCAAGCACGATGATCACGAAGTAGCACCAGAGGCGCCCCCACCAGCCGCCGACGCGCCGGCCGGTGGCCATCCGCCAGAGCTTCTCGAGGATGACCATGAAGCCCTGCAGGCCGAAGAAGATGGTGACGCGGTGGTCGAGCCCGCGGCCCATGGCGTAGATCGCGAGCTCGTGGTAGAGCCCGGACGCGACGAACGCGCCGACGACCATGCCGACGTTGCCCGCAAGCCAGGCGCCCGGGTACCCGCCGAAGACGAGGAAGATCTGCCGGAAGAGCTGGTGCCAGCGCCGGGCCCAGAAGCCGTGCAGGGAGTCCGTGGCCCAGGGGTTCTCCATAATGGGCGGCCAGGAGGAGGGCGAGTGCCCGAGGAGGCCGACGTCGATTAGGGTGCAGAGGTCGTAGACCATTTGGAAGCCCGAGACGAAGCAGTTGCCGGTGAGGATGTGCGCGAATGTGGAGACGGCGTATCGTTGGAGTGGTGGTAAGTTGGAGAGGAAGATGCTCCCGCCGTATGGGCTGCTAAGCCCAGGTACGCATTTGATGAGAGACTCTTGGAAGTCTAGCAGGCAAAAGTGCTTGAGGAAGGACAGTAAGGTGGCACGCAGGAACGGGCCGCGCTCCTGCGGACGAGAATCGCGCGGTACGTAGACAGGTTTACCAAAGTCCCAGCCGAGTCCGCGAGCAGTGAAGAGGATCTCCAGGGCATCTCTGAACCAGAGAGGCAGGAAGGTCATGGTCGGGCTGCGATGAGCCGGCTTCTCTGACCGATCGAGGTCCGAGTCATCCGAGTCGGGCGAGCTGCCCCGGGGTACGCCAGCTTCAACCTCGTTCAACTTCTTTCTCCCGTCTTTGACGAAAGCAAAGTCGAGAGCGCGTGCGATCAAGAACATCGCCAGTAGCCCTTCAATTCTAGGTGAGCCATGATTCATGCGCTGGCGGAGAAGCACACTCACCAAGCGCCCAGTTATACACATTCAATCGGGGATCCGTCCACATATAGCCGAATCCGACATGTAAGAGCGACGATAGCACCGCTGGAAGCAGGAGCAGGCGTATCAAATAGGTGTCTGGTCGTCGGACCAGGTATGCCTGGAATAGCAGGGGCAGAAAGTGCATCAACATGGCCGGAGCTGTCTGCCATGTTACTTCAGTCCTGTTCTGTGGCTCAGGTACGACAGTACGCCAAGCAGCGTACGTCGCGGACCACAACCTGCCATGCGCTGTCAATCAGCTGTGCAGCGCCTTGAACGACGAGCGACGTACTCTAGGTATATCCTGCGGTAGTTCATGGCCGTCTAGAGTGTCGTGGGCCGTTGCAGTTCTAATAAACGTACAGTAAAGGGGAAGTGAGTAAAGCATTCTTTATAAGCATCGGAGCAGCTGGGCTGACGCGCGTACTAACCGAGGCGTAATGGACGGAAAGCGACTGCGCACGTGTGGGGTCCGGGGGATCTCGTGATCCGGGCGCGCACCTCATCCCGCCTCCGAGATCCCATCAGCTTCGGGTCCCACGCTATCAAGGCACTGCGCCAGCTTTAGCCCAGGCACGTCCTCCGTAAGAACGTCTGTCGCGAATACTCTGGCGATCCCTACTCTTGCCTTCGCGCTTACACAGACGACCACCGCCCTGTCTATGCGTGTTGCTCTCTAATAATCCCCCCGCGTCTGGCGTCGCCGGTGAATCTTCGAAGCGCTGAATCACTCGTTCGTCGATCAGAACACAACGCCGACTCTCTGGTCAGGCATGCCGGCAATATTGAGGGAGTCGTTGCGCACGAATATCGTTGCTAGGCAGCCCTACAAGAAGGCTCTGCTCATCGGTATCCAGTATACAGAACAGTTTGGATTGCTGGAGAGCTCCCACAAAGATGTTCGTGACCTCGGGAAATTCCTGATACGTGCGTTCCGTTACCACCGTGCTGTGCCGACGGACCCATTTCAATGGTTCTCTCTGAAATGATCGTCTCTTGCAGAGCGTTGCAACTACCGCCCGTATGACGTCGTTATCATGACCGACGATCCTCGAGAGCCTGCATCCCTGCAGCCCACAGAGGAAAACATTGTGCGTCATCTCAGGTCTTCTATATACTGCCAAGAACTCTCACATCCCCTATAAAGCTCCTCAAGATGTTTGAATTGACAGAAGGGGCTCAAGCAGGAGATCATTTCTTGTTTCATTGTAGGTCCGCTGCTATTCCGGTTGGAATGCGTTGACAGCTCCAATCAGTCTCCGGTCATGCCGATCAACAGGAATGTCAAAGCCAGGACTCCGAGGAAGAGGACGGAATGGATGAATGTGAGTGCAGGAGGCCACCCTTTTACGCCAGTTCTGATTGCCGTGTAGGTATAATCACCAGCGACGAGCGTTTCATACGCGATAACGTGAGTGTAAACCTTCCAAGTAGCATTTTACACTGACCTGGTCTTCGCAGGACTTGAGAAGGGCTCTTGTGGAAGCCCTTCCTGTCGGCAGCACACTCGTCGTGCGTACCTTGTCGTTGCTGAGATTTCAGATCCTGATACCTCGGCGTAGGCTATATTTGACTGCTGCCACTCCGGTACGCTACTGGGTAAGTTGTCGAGTCCCGGCCTTATCAGAACGTCACCCATCTCACCACTCTCAGACTTGGAACATTACAAGTGCAATACACCTCACGAGTGGTCCCACCACGAACACGAGCATGCCCGCGGTAAACGGAAGCACCCAGGTAGCCACATTCTCCATTCCCTCCATCCCTCCGTTCTGATCAACCGCAGACCGCCGCAACGCCGCCCCCACCCGGCGGGGAAGAATCTACCACAAGCGCCGCCTCGACATGGGCGAAGTGTGCGTCAATGCGGGCGAGTTCGACAAAGTCATCCCGAAACCCGGCGCGCGCTACAGCCGCGTGGTCGTGAAGACCCGCTCGTCGTCCATCGCGTCGCAGTACCACACGCCGCTGTCACCAAGGAGCGCCGTGGACGCGATGTCGTGGTCGGGGATATGGGAGCGCCTGCAGCTCGCGGCCGCGCCGCGGTGCGCGTCGCCGGAGAATATGCAGCGGACGCGTAGTCATGATTCGGAGGAGTGCGTGGATAGTCCTACGGAACGGCCCAACGTTGTGAGTACGCATATCTTTGTGTGGGTGTATTCGACTTACTGACTTTGTCGAAGATTTCTCTGGCGCCGGTTCCTGACGACCACGTCGTCTACGAGAGCGACAAGGGGGGTTTCCTGACTAGGGTACGTACCAGCTGTTACATCTCTCGTCATGCTGTCTTAACGACCCGCAGGCGTTGATCGAATTTTTGGGAGCGAGGGAGGAAGCGCCCACGTTCCGAGAGTTGATGACGCACCTCGAGTGAGTCACCCGGTATTAGACCCAGCGAGTGACAAAATGCTGACCCATCTCCTCAAGGCATGGTCTTAAGACCATAACGGACAAGGTGGCAGAGGAGAAGCGCCAGCGAGGGAACGCCGATATCCCCGAGGAAGGCGAACCGACGCCTGATACCAGCATGTCGGTGAGTATCATATGGTCGGGTCAATGTATGTTTGCTGAACAGGATCAGGGCTCGGACCCGTCACCTGGGTCGCCGCGGTTGGGATTCGAGTATCCACAGGTGCGATTTCTTCCTTTCTGGGCGTAGGAGTCTTCTGACATATCGTGTTAAAGCTTGGCAGCTGCAAGAGACTTGTAAGCCGACCTTCTCTGCCTGTGACCGCTGTATACTCATCCGGTTCACAGAACCTAGACGATGTCTTCACTCTATAGCATCCATTCCTATTTCTACTACTCCCGCGTGGATTCATAACGCATTGTTACTGCTTAAGGATAAGACCTCTTTATTCCCGGACATTTGACATTTCGATTCTCATATAGCCCTAGTTGCATATCCTTAAAGTTATATCCACTATGGACTGCTGGTATTGTATATCCGAAACGTGCTCTTCGTTGTATTGCTGTTTACAAGTTTCAGGCCTGGGGCCTCGTAATGGTGCTGCATATACGAGTTGTACATATATACATATCGCGCGTTTCCCTATGCGCTTATACATGTCTAATTGCATTCCACATTGTACATGGGAGACAAACCGTGTGCAGTATCTTGGATGGAGAATTAATCGTCGAATTCGATCCTGAGGGCGGGAGATGCGGCGGCCCTGGTACTGTAAATCCAAGCTCTCTTTTAAGCGTGACGCCAGCTACTTGCCGTGACGCCCATATTTCTTCCGTGCCAGACGGTGCGCGTACCAACACACGACGACGAGCAGGAACGCACCGACGATGCCCGCTCCAATGTAGCCGGAATTGTCGTTTGCCTGCCAGAGTCTTCAGTATCAGCCTCGGACAGGAAGCGGGCCAATAGCCAATACTGACTCTAGCCCAGGCGCGCCACCAGCTCCCCGCGAGCCCCCCGCCGTCTGCGGCTTCCGCGGCGGCTCGGCACTTTGCGCAGTTGTCGCCGATGAGGCCCATGGTGGTTATCAGCGAGATGCTGCAATAATACCTGGCGTGAGCAAGAGATGGGGAAAGAAAAGCGGGGGGAAGCTCACCTGAATGCGACGAGGATGCTCATCAAAGTGAGGATGATGCTCAAGTTGGACATGGTGTTGTGCTTGAGCTCGAGGAGCCTGTCAGTGTCCGTGTTGGCCTGCTGGGCTGCTTCCGTGGAGGACACGGAGATTGGCAGAGCATCGGCCTCTTTGCCAGGCGCCTCTCCCTTCTTCTCGTCATCAGGCTTTTCTGCCGCAGGAGGATCAGCTGCCGGCAGTGGTTCGAGGGTCCCGGCGTTTGGCGACGGATCGACTCTCCTGAACAGAGCCAACGAGTGCTCACAGAAATCGGAGTAGGAGTAGACCATCAGGACCGAGTCGAGGCTGTCGATGAGGCTCATCCCCGCCGTGAACAGCAGCTGCATGTAACTTCAATTAGCCGGGATGTTTTCGTAAGCGCTGAGAACGGTGGAGGCGTTACCGGTAAGATGACTATGTCACCCGGGGCGATAGCCGTGCCGTCCGCGCTACGTTTGGCTATCCCCGACACTGCTAGCAGCGCGATCGACGATGCCGTGTCGAATCCTAGAGTACATAGACTCAGCCTGTGGAACAAGGATAGTCAAGTAAATACGTGGGTATACGCTTACCAAAACCGAAGAGCACGCCGACGGGGTACATCTAGGTGATGATAAGCACCACCCAGGCGGGCATAACGGCTGTGGGTATCACTTACCTTCCAGGGCCGGTTCACGAACTTGACAACGGGCCCGAGGATGCGCATCATCAGCATACTGTCGTTCACCTTGTCTGCCGGTTCTGTATCTGTGGCAATCTCACGCTCGCCCTCCTCGAGCTGGCGCTTGCGGCGCGCGCGTTCCTGGGCACTCGCGTGAGTAGCTGTGGTTGAGGATGGAATGGAGAGGGGGTGGTTACCGCTCGTCGCTGCCGGATAATCCGCCATAGGATGATGGAGTTTGCGAGGCCGACGAGGAAGAGGAAGGACGCGCTCACTGCGCTGCCTGGAAAACAGCGTGAAGTTGTTTATCAGCGGTCAAGGGGGAGGGGGACGCGTCAGACCGACTATTCCGCCGACTTGGCCTACGCCGTCCAGTTTTTCATAGACGCTCGTGCTGATGGCGATCGCCACATTCTATTGTGCAATAGAAGGGGGGGGGGGGTTCAGTTAGACTAGTGGAGAGAGGGGGAAGGGGCTGACCACTACGATGACGACGGTGCTGTGCCCCAAGGAGAAGAAGAGCCCGCAGGTTACGGGGAGTTGGCCGAGGCTGATGAGGCCGCGGGTTGCGTTGTCGATTGCACTGGTGCATGTCAATGCCATATAGCGGGACAGGTCGCTGTGGGGTCTTTCAGAACCTTTCCATGCACGAGTTGGAGTCAGGCCTACCGGAGCTGTTGGTTACCTTATATGATCAGCGTCGAGCGCTGCAATGGGGAGTGTATTGAGGTTTGGTACTCGCGCTCATTCTCGATAACACAAGACGTACCATGCCTCAACCCGATCGTCTGTTCCAGATGTTACCAAATTTCGAGAGTGTGCGTACGTGCTCGTACGTACCCATGCCAGCAGTGCGAGACTGAGAATCGAGCGCGAAGCTGCGTTCCTGGTGAACAGGATCGCGCATACGATCCAGCAAATAGCATTAGCCAGCACCTCGCCCGCGACGACGAGCAGAGCGCGCCCGAACAACGTCAGTCGGAAACGCCTCAGGGACTTGAAGTTGAGGCCGACCATGATCGTGGTTGAGTCGCGCCAACCGTCGGACTCAAATCATTAGGGGTTTTGTGTGGCAAGATATGATCGCTTCCGCGATACGATAACGGTGCTGTCATGATCAGATAGCACCGATCATTGTACAAAGGCTTGTCTTCATTTGGTAGTGGCCTCAACGTCGTATTCAACGTCGAGGTTCTCGGTGAAGGGTTATTGGGGAAAGCGCATGATAGAAATTTATGACGTTCTGATTTGCAGAAATGATGAGGTACCGGTATGGGACCGACAATCGGTGATCATGTTTCAGCGGGACATGTTCGGACGGACAAGAACCGTCCACACGATGAAATAGCGGGGCGCGTTGCCCCCCTTCCCATGACGACACATCCCACACACCAAGCTTCGTGCCCTACATATTCCCTGAGCTTTAGACATCCAAAAAGCCTTCAAAACATAAGTGCGGATGGATGCAGGCTGAGGATGCGATCTAGTCGGGCAGCGGCCAAGGTGGAAGGGATCTGTGGAAGGATCTCGGGAGCGCACGTGGTTGGGTTTGATCGTGTTTGGGGATCGTTGAACCAGAGCACCGCGTCTGCCGTCGCGCGCGTTTGCAATTGCTCGGAATGCCTTCTCGTGCGGGCTGCACTTCATAACTGCCTGCTTCGCTTCATTCACGTCTGTCTTCTCCGTCTGCACTCACCGCACACCGTCGCATATATTTTTGACCCGCTTTCCGTTGCCGTTCTGCCTGCTTCTGCGCCGTTTCCTGCAGGCGCGTCCTGCACCCGTTCTTCAACTTGTACCACCGCTAGCCCGTTCGTTTTGTATCTTTCGAAATATTACCTGTCGCTGGGCTGCCGGTCTAGCATACGATCTGTCCCTGATTCCAAGGCACATCGACGGAGATCCGATTCTCGTGCGTCACGTAGCGTAGTCAAGGGCCCCATCTCACTCTAATTACCTGCTAACGTAAGTCCCTATGCCCCCCTTTGCGAGAGCGACTGACAAGCCCGCCCACACGTCTTGTAGACACATTTCTGTGTCCCCTGCATCGTCGGACAGTTTCCTTCCTTGGAACATGCCGCTAGCAGGCCTCAGAATAGACACCTCCGTCCCCAAGCATCCTGGCCCGACTTCTGGCAAGGGACGCCCGTCCCTCGGCCGCGGCGTCACGCCCAGCTCCGCCCGCTCAAAGAGCAGCCTGTCGGTCAGCTCGGTCAAGGACCGCATGAGAAGTCCCTCCTCCGCCTCCACATCCTCCACGCTCTCCCTAGTAACCCCACCGCTATCCTCCGACTCGAATGCGTCCACCGCGTCCCTCCATGTCCCGCAGGCGTCGACGTCTTCGTCTGCCGCTGCCGGTCCGTCCAGGCGGCCCACCCAAGCTTCCACGCCCTCGTCCGCTGCTACTTCCCCGCGCACTTCATCCGAGTTTGTTCTTGCTATGCATGACTATGTCCCCCAATCGAGTAGTGGGACGTACCTGTCCTTCCGCGCTGGCCAGATTATTCGCGTCCTAAACCGTGATGCTAGTGGCTGGTGGGACGGTGAGCTCGACGGACGACGGGGATGGTTTCCCAGCAATTATGTCTCTGCGCATGTAAGTTCTCTAACAGAGGAGGAACTCCCATCCAGCTCGGTAAGTCCTCTGACTTGGATCGGTTGGATGCCAGCGCCTCTAACCGAAGAGCTATTAGCGTTGGCGGCCTGGGCATGCGCACACCCAATCCACCGTATCCACTACCTCTTGGGCCAGCACGCCCTCACCCAGACACAATCGCTTTTCCTCAGAAATCGGCGAATCTGAATTCGACTCGTACTGCCCCCCGCTAATGGTCCCCCTCCTCCACGGCATGTCCGTCCTGCAAGCCTCCGTGCGCTCCAACCGCCCATCCCACTTCCAGCCCTCGACCGCCTCGATCATCGTCTCCGTGCGCACCATGCTCTCGTCCGTCGAGTGCCTCCAGCGCGACGCGCCGCGCCTCAAGCAGCACCCGCCGCTCGCGCAGGAGCGCGCGCAGGTGCTCGCGACGCTCGCCGCGCTCGTCGCGCAGACGAAGAAGGCAGGTGAAGAGACGGAAGACGAGGAGCGGGCCGAGTGCGAGACGGAGTCGATGCTCAAGCTCGCGGGGCACCTCTTCGCGCACTGCCGCCGGTTTCTAGCGGTTGCCGCGCAGTGCGGGGTGCCCCTGCCTGACAGAAGGAGCTCGGCGTCGGACCAGAGCTTGCTTTCGGAGGGCGAGGAGGCGGAGAACCGGGCGAAGCCGGCGAGGACGACGAATGGGATTGTACATAGACCGCAGATGCGCCAGAGAGAGGTGACGGCGACGCCCCGCGCGGCGAGGAGTATGGGAGACTTGCGCACGCCTAGGCAGGGTGTGGGTGGGCGCGATGCACCGCCCGTACCATCGCTAAGAGGCACGGCGCGTCCGGGACAGACGAGGCGCGCTTCAGAACATGGGCACCACGGGGGCCAGTCCTCGATCAGTAGTATCTCATCCACGTCTTCCTCTTCCTCCTCTCAGTCGATCAAGACACCCCCAATGCTGCAATTCCCAACCGGCCCGACGCCCGCCGCGCAAGTGCTCGACGCGCTCCGGCACACACACGACCAGTACCTCTCCACCATCGCAGCGTTCATCGGGCACGCACACTCGCACTCGCGCATGTCGCACGCGTCGAGCACGGGGCACATGTACGACCTCGTGCGCGAGGTCGTCGACATGGTGTGCAAGCTGCTGACGATCGTCGAGGCGGTGATGCAGCACCCCGCGCTGCCGCCCGCGAAGCTCGCGCAGCTGCGGGGCGCGCGCGAGGGGCTGTACAGCGTGACGACGGCGCTCGCGGACGCGGTGCGCATGCTCACGAGCGCGAGCGGGATGAGCGAGGAGGAGGAGAAGGCCGCGCTGCTCAGATCGGCGACGGGCGCGCTCAAGGCGGGCGCGGACTGCGTCGCGGCGGTGAAGCTCTTCTTGAACCGCACGGCGGTGGGCGATCGCGGGCTGGTGGTGCACCTGCCCGGACCGGGGCAGACGAGCCCCGTCGTGAGCCCGCGGACGAAGGCGGTGTTTGAGGAGGCGAAGGGCGAGGCGGGCCCCGCGGGGATGCTCGGGCAGCGGCTCGTGGAGATGGAGGACGAGGATATGACTATCCAGGCGCGCACGATCTCGACGGACGCGGGGACCCCTGGCGGGCGGGGCGATGTCTCACATCTGAATGGCACACAGCCCGTTTTGGAAGGCCTGGAGGAGGAGCTCCGTGCGCGGTCACCCCCTGCCCCGGTGCAGTCACAGTCACCTCCACTGCGAGCACAATCGCCCCGCGTAAGGGATGGGCCGCCGGTGTTGCCGCCTTTGGATATCCCCGACGACCCGCCGCCACAGAGGCTGCAGACGCCTAGCTTGCTCAGCCGGACGGACGATGGGACGACGTGGGAGGGGAGCCACCACCAGGAGGGCCCGCGCGGGCTGGAGGAGAAGCTGCTCAATGGCGAGCTGCCTTCGATACCGTCTTGCGAGCTACCGGGCCGCGACCCCTTGTCGTGGATGCTCTCGCATGATTATTCCCTGGAAGATGTAGCGTACAACAGTGATGGCCATCTCGTCGGTGCCTCGCTTAATGCCCTGGTGGAGAAGATGACGCCGCACGACTCGCTTGTGGATATTACCATCTCGGACGTGTTTTGGGGAACGTTTCGTTTGTTCTCGTCGCCAGCGGAGCTGCTGGATGCTATCATTGCGCGCTACAATCTTCAACCTCCTCCGAACCTGTCACAAGAAGATGTGTACGTCTGGCAGCAGCGCAAGGGTATGCCCGTGCGCCTGCGCGTGTCAAATCTCATCACGAAATGGCTCGAGGCGAACTGGCGCGCATCTACGGACAAACCAGTCTTGCCCGCCTTGGCGGCCTTCAACCGCGATGCTCTGTCGCGGATGTTCCCTGGCCCTGCGCAGCGGATTCAGGATCTTATAGTCGCGCGTAGCCAAGATCGGGATTTGCAGCGAGACAGGCTGGTGGATCGCAGTGCTGCGATCAACCCTCCCTTTGCTCCTCCGCCGGAGATTCCCCGTCCTGTCATGAACAAGAGTTTGCTTTCTGCTCTGCGGAATAAGAGCTTCACCTCGATCGCGATCACGGACTTTGACCCGACTGAGCTCGCGCGGCAGCTCACCCTCATGGAATGCAATTTGTATTGTGCGATCCGGCCGGAAGAGCTGTTGGAGATTGGACAGGAAGGCACGACGTCCCATAAGAATATCAAGGCTGTCACTTCGCTCAGTACTGTCATCACCGGTTGGGTGGCTGAGAGTATCCTGAATGAGCTGGACATGAAGAAACGCGTGGGTCTCGTGAAGTTCTTCATCAAGGTCGCCGATGTAAGCGTTCATAGCTACACTGATTGTCTGATGATTGACCGGTTCCCTGTAGCGCTGCAGTACTTTGAATAATTTCAGTACTTCGCGTTCTATCCTGGCCGCCTTGGATTCCTCGACGATATCACGTCTGCACCAGACATGGATGGTGGGTTTATATGTGGTATCAGCTTCATTCAATTGTACTTACATACCATCATAGGGAGTACCCCAAAAGAACAAACTCCAGCTGGAATCCCTACGGAAGCTAGCGGACCATGCGCGTAACTATCACGAGTATCGGTCGAGACTCCGTAACACTGCACCGCCAGCAGTACCCTTCCTCGGTCAGTATTCATCATCCAGAGTTGGAAGCCTCGCTAACTAGGATTTATGTAGGTCTTTATTTGACAGACATCACTTTTTGCCGCGAGGGCAATCCTTCGCATCGCGCATCACCCTTAGCACCCGAAAAGAAACTCTTGAATTTCAACAAATACCACAAGCTGCACAGGATTGTGCAAGGTATGTCGCTGCATACATCCAGCGATGCGTGTGCTGAATGCAGGACGTAGACATGGTACGGTTCCAGGTGCCATACAACTTGAAGGACATTCCCGAGGCACAAGAGTACTTGCATGCAGCTTTCGAAAGATCGAAATCTACTGGTGATCTCCAAGATTTATACCGCCGCAGGTGAGTAATACAGATACCATAAAATATGAGGCCATGCTCATTTGTCGCAGTCTGCTCGTTGAACCCAGGCAACCGGCCGATACGCCCCCCGCAAGCGACGTGCGGCACCTCTTCACTTGGGCATCACGCTCACAATCCCAGCAAGCTACGCCAGCATCATAATCTTATTAGCAGTTATGCGGACTACATTTAATCTTATTCATGCATCTACAGACAGCCGGCCTTGGGACTATGGCTTCTCATGTGTTTCTATCGTCCATCGCTCTTTCTTGCACTCAGGCTATCGTTTGCACTATCTGTCATCTCTACATCCAATTACTTGCTGTCTGTATGTACTAGGTATATTGTAGAACTCTACCTGTTAGTAATCATACATGCCTGCTTCTCATACAACTGCAGATCTGAATCTATGCCCAAGAGTCCAATATGGAACAAGCACAAAAAATAAGAATATCCTCAGACTTCACCACGACTGTGTGGATACTTCGTGACATAGTATCCGACCCCATCCCAATCTTTCTTGTGCTGCAGGCCATCGTTACGATCCACTGGCAAGCGCGGATAGGTACTTGGCGTGACTCCGGGTACAAAGTCGTAAATGAAAGACCTGCTCTGATTGGCACCGAACAGGCGCGAGCTTTCCAGGATAAGCGAGTAGACTGGAGATGAATCGTTGCCTGGCGCATGGACACTCCAGCCAGAGCTAGGGGACCGAACATCCCAAAATGCGACGACACTGTGGCGAGCCGAACCGGCGGCAATGTGGGCAGATGCACCACCTCCACAATCTAGCGTGTATATCGGTTCGAATGACCAAGGATCGTAGATGGATAGGACAGGTGCTAAAGGCGCGGGCTGTGCTGAGGTACCGCCACCGACACGAGTTGACGATCGAAGATCGTGGACCCGAACTTTCCCGTCGTACCAGCCGGAAACGAGTATCTGTTCGGACGCGCCCCAGGGGGATGAGGGAGGTGCTGTCGAGATGCCGTAAACAGCTGATGACCGGGGCCGATCTGCGTCCTTCCCCGACGCTTGCAGTATGGCCCACGGAGTTGGTGATATCTCGGAGTTGGTAATCGAGTATAGAACGAGGGGCGTAGCGGAGGAGGTACCGATGGCAGCATATGGCGTCGATGATCCGCTCGATACATAGGACGACCAACTTCGGACTTCCGTGTTGATGCTCGAAATCTCGTAGGCGGCTGCGGCTTGATGTAATCGAAAAAGTTTCGCTGTTCCTGCCGCCGAAAGTGACAGGAGTAAGTCATCGGAGACTGATAAACTCTCGATGACTTCCCAGTCCATGTATTGGAGATATCTAGACGACGCCTCAAGAAGAGCCTTATGCTGGCCGCTTTTAGGCACGGGCAGCATAACACGTTCTAGTCTCCCGTCTTCGAAACCGACATACAGAGTGCTGTCAAGGCCTCCGTCTGGGACGAAAGCAATCCCCGTAATGTCACCTCGAAGATCTGCTTCCAGGCTGCTGAATGTGTATGTGCATTCGTGATGTATCGCAGGCGCCAGGTTTGTGTCCGCCGTACTAAAACCGTAGGAATAGAGGTTATTGCCAGCCGCTACGATCAACCTGGAGTTGCTTATAGCCAGTAGCGGCTGCAACTTCCCATACCAAGGCCGTTGCAAAGGTCGTGCGACGAATTCGCAACGTGCCCATGCCCGATCTGAGAGTGTATGATACTTCACTTGCGAACGGGCATCCCATCGATCGAGTGCCTTGGACAGACTCCAGCATCGCCGCGGATTCAAGCGCAGATGATCAGCCCAACCAAATTGCGTTGCCTGAGTGTCGTCAATATGGCAGACCGTATATCTTTACTGGCTTGGATGACTTACAGCAGCGTGTAGAGTCTTGCACGTTCTAGAGAGGATATCGAGGTGCCGGACATCAAGATAGTGCATGATAATGACCAGTATATCGCTCGGAAGACATTGCAGAGGCGACATAGTAACGGACGGAAGGCGTGGCTCAAGTGTCAGCACACGACCCTCTCCTTGCAAAAACGAAAGCTGAATGTATCGTAGAACTAGAGTTTGGACTGATCTTCAGCCAAGCCACTTGAAATGGATGATGTGTGGACGTCAGCGGCTCCAGCTCATCATGTGAGGCCTGTAATATTCGGAATTTCATACTGTAGATCGTTCGAACAAGCAGTAGGACATTCACATACACTTGAGTCTGCGACCGCGCGCGATGAAATAACCCAGGACTTGGTTTGTCTGCGTTGCTCACGAGAGTCGAGATCCTGGCCGGAGTGACGAGGCTGCTGTGCCGACGTCTAACCGCACACAGGCGCGCTGGCGTGAGACGGCATTCGTTACATTCCCTCTGTTCTGGTTATTCCTGGTCTCCTGGAGAGCACACCATTACTCTGTGCACCGCTCTATCGTAGCCTGCTGTGCGGACATGAGAAGGGATGTGCGGATACTTCTGGTAGGAGACGGTGAGACGGTTGAGACTGTCTGGGGCCTGCATGTCTGACTTCTGCCTGCTACAGAGGGCGTCGGGAAGAGCACTATAGTTACTTCATTGATTAAGGAGTCCTATGTCTCCCATGTGCGCGATACTCTTGTATACTTCGAAGTTAGTCCTCACTCTTCGGTAGGTGCAACATATAGTACCCGAAGTGACCATCCCTCCAGAAGTCACTCCGGAGAATGTGACGACCTATATTGTGGACTCGGGCGGTAAGGCGATTTGTTCTACACCAACATGTATCTGACCTGTGCTATGCAGCTGGACCGCAGGATAGACAGCATCTCGAGTCCGAGATCCGAAAGGCACATGTCATATGTGTTGTATACTCTATTGACAACCCAAACTCCTTTGACCGGATCCCAACCTACTGGCTGCCATATTTCCGGCAGCTAGGCGTCAATGTATAGAGCCTGAGCTACTCCCGGTGCTGCGTTCTAACTCGTATTCAGGTCCCCGTGATTCTTGTCGGCAACAAGATTGACCTGCGTGGTGGAGAGGTCACCAATGAGGCTCTGGAGGAGGAGATTGTTCCCATCATGAATGAGTTCAAGGTAAGCATTGTTCCTTACCTGGTTCCGGCATTTTTGAGCATAGGATGATAGTGACGGAGCCTAGGAAGTAGAAACCTGCGTGGAGTGCTCAGCGAAGTTACCCCTGAATGTCTCAGAAGTCTTCTACTTTGCTCAAAAAGCTGTCCTCCACCCGACTGCCCCGTTGTACGACTCCAGAGACCATGTGCGTAAGAGGCGACCCGTCATCCTTGGTTATCCGACTGCTTACCCTCTCACCTTCAGGTTCTGAAGCCGGCATGCGTCAATGCACTGAAACGGATATTCAAGCTCTGCGACAAGAATAAGGATGGTGTCCTCGACGATGCTGAACTGAACGAATTTCAGGTATCTCTGGGTTCCGTAGTGACTCTATGTATGCTCACACATTCCAGCGGATATGTTTCGATGCCCCTCTACAACTTCAAGAACTGGAAGGGATCAAGGAAATGGTCCGAGAGCATGCGGAAGGTGGAGTACGGGATAATGGACTAACAGAAGCCGGTTTCCTGTACTTGCACACGATATTCATCCAGAGGGGGCGTCTAGAAACTACGTGGACCGTTCTCCGAAAGTTCGGCTATGCGGAAGATCTTCGCCTTACGGAAAGCTTCCTCTCGCCCAAGTATGCGATCTGCGTTTCGAGTGGATATAGTCTATCGCTAATAACTGACTATTAGGTTTGATGTTCCATATGACTGCTCAGTAGAATTGAGCCCACTAGGGTATCATTTCTTCACGGACATCTTTGAGACTTATGACAAGGTAATAATTCCCCCTTATGAATGCATCACTTTATAGCTAACAATGTCTAGGACCAAGACGGTGCTCTCAAGACGTCCGAGCTGGAGGATTTATTCAGCACTTCTCCGGGCAATCCTTGGGCGAGCCAGAGATTCCCCGACACGACACTCGTGGATGATACAGGCGCTGTAACCCTTCAGGGCTGGCTGGCGCAGTGGAGGTAGGGATCTTTCTGCTCGCATCTGTGACGATGATGTTCTCATTCTGATATCAGCATGACTACCCTGTTGGATCACAAAACGACCTTGGCATATCTGGGGTACCTAGGATATCCTGATGAACCCCGAACAAGCGCTTTACAAATCACTAAGCCGCGAAAGGTCGAACGCCGCAAGGGCAAATCGACGCGGAATGTCTTCCTCTGTTATGTCTGCGGTGCGGCGGGTTCAGGCAAGACGTCCTTGCTCCGGGCGTTTGCAGGGAAGCCGTATCAGGAGGCGTATGAGCCGACTAGCAAACCCATAAGCGTTGTCAATGCCGTGGATATTGATGGGTCGGAAAAGTATCTGGTTGTGAGTGCCCCCCTTAGATGTTTCTACCCTGATGCTGAATAGAAGGTTTAGCTGCAAGAATTTGGAGCTAGATACGAGGCGGAGACGCTCAGGAATTCGAAGAAGACCGACTTACCAGACGCTATCGTTTATGTCTATGACTCGAGCGATACAAACTCATTCTCGTATATCAGTAATTTACGGGTAGGTCAGTGTCCTTTTCACGTCTATGCATCACTAATCAATCCTCCCCTAGCAACAATATAGCTTGGATCATATACCAACACTATTCGTGGCGACGAAATCAGACCTGGATCTTGCCTTGCAGGTAAGCTGTTCCTGTATGGACTAGTTCCACACGCGTCTGACTCGTCAAAAGCGGCATGAAGTGCAGCCCGACGTCTATTGTCGTCGGCTAGGGCTGCAAGTGCCTGTCTCAGTCAGCGTAAAAACAGGCCAGACGGCTGACGTGTTCCATGTCATCTGCTCTGTGGCCATGCATCCGTGAGTCTGCAGTTTTCTCCGCCTCTCACGGCACTGACAATAACGGCGATATTCAGCAATTCAGCAATCCCTGGCGGCGCGGAGCGTGCACTTTCTGCGACTGCACGCCTCCGTATGTACGTCACATGGACCGCGCTGCTAGGGGGCGTGTCTGCCAGCCTTTTGATGATGTACAGGACATTGCTGCGACCCGGCGGTCCTCTGGGCACTTGGGGTGGACAATGGGCGGGATGGCTTTTGGGGCATCGTAGGGAATTATGAATATTGTCGCACATACTGCACATACTACACTAGCAAGCTCAGTAATTCCTAGCCCGATGCAGCAGGCTGTGGCCACAGATGCATCGCGATGACAGTGACAGATCCGAATGCCGATTGCGTAGATCCGGCGTTGTGCGGCGTGACTTCAGCATGCACGTCCTTGACTGACCTTGCGTCCAAGACTTTGCTTGTATATTGTCCACCTTCATCCACAACCACCACGGATCGTCTACCGAAGCCTCAACCTTACACACGCGTGTGCTCAGGACCACTTTCAATCAAATCTTGTGGTAGACAACGACCAACATGGACGAAGACATGGAATTCGACGATGCTAGCACTTCTGCGCCTCAACAACCTGCTTTTGGAGCTCAGGAGCAGTACATGCTTGATCCAAATCGCAAACAATTGTACGCCCTCACTCCTGTGTCCGGGCTGTGTTACTAACGTCTTTCCTAGAGATCTGGTATTCGTGCAGGACTGCACTGGCAGTCAAGGAAGCTACATCTCTTCTGCAACAAAGAATATAGAACAGATCTGCGCTCATATCTTCGAATCTGGCAAGCTTCAAGCACAAGAGGACCTCCGAATAGGACTCGTGGCTTACCGGGACCATCCACCACAAGATCATACATATGTTACCAAGAACTTCGGCTTCTCTTCAGACATCAGCAAAGTCCACAAGGACCTGTCAAGCCTATATGCGTCTGGTGGAGGAGATGGCCCAGAGGCGGTGACGGCGGCACTTGCTGAAGCATTGAACATGGATTGGAGGGAGAATGCAAGTAAGATGGTTGTGCTGATTGCGGACGCGCCTCCCCATGGTGTTGGAGAGTATGGTGATGGTATGTAAGCTCGACATATATGTTCCTTGATATTGCCGCTCATTTTGTCAGGTTTTGACGAGGGTTCCCCGGATGGCAATGATCCATTACAGCTCGCACGTCAGATGGCTAGTCGTGGTATCACTCTGGTAAGCGCCACTCCTTGGGACTAAGAGTGTCCTAATGACTCATACGTGTCCAGTTCTTCGTTGCGTGCGAGCCTGCCCTAAGCGGGTACTCAGTAAGTACCGCCCTTTGTAGACGCACTGATGCTAACTAGATTCACAGTTTGCGACCGACTTCTTCCAAGCAATAGTAAATATCACGTCGGGGCTAATGCTGCCTTTGACGACCGCCGACCTACTCGCGCATGCTATTGTCGGAAGTGTGCTCGAGAATCTAGACATGGAGCGTCTAGTTCGCGAAGTCGGTCAAGCAGTTGCAGCGCGGATATTAGGGAGCGGTGAGAGTGTCGATGACGTAGCCCGCGAGTTGCACGAAAGACTCCTGCTACGAAACGAAAGCACGAAGAAGGTTGTGATAGAAAGTATCTATAAGGAGTCTGCAGAAGCCCAACATAATGTCTCGGTATTCATGCAAGCGCCTTCTCTCGTAGAAGCCCGGCCGCTGCTCAAAAAGGTATGTGTGCACCGATGTCTACCGGGGAACTGTCTTTAACCGTCTCTCCAGGTTCCGGGGACTCGTTTTACAGACAAGTATCTTCAGGCGCGGCAGTCAGCTTCGCGGAGTGGGTACTCTTATGGCCCGTACATCCCAGCACGTTCTCCAGAGAAGAGCTTTGGGTCACCGTCGTCAACATCTATTACTGCGTCTCCCGGATCCCCCGGGCGGTCTCCACCTGGGTCTCGAAAGGTTGTCACGGATTTCGCTGCCTTTGGTGGCCCGAGAGACGCCAGTGTTTTCAAGACGGCGGTACAGTCGACACCGTTCTCGCTTGCGGGTGGTAAGGCAGCATTCGGAGGCCTGAGAAATAATGGCGCAGCCCGGCCGTCCTTTGATGACGATGACGAGGATGAAGAGGAGGACGGTAGACAGCGAATTGAGCTGAGGGAAGATGCAATCACCCTTGATCAGGTGAGTGCTCTAGCTTCGGGTTCGGCTTGGAGATGGGAACTGAGGCACTCGCAGGCCAAGCGCATCGCTATGCAAAGTGCATGGAGGAGCGCTCGCGGTTGAGCTTTGGGTTATTGATTCTCGTGTATCAGGTGCCGGTCATGGGTTCTAGTAGAAAGTAAACAAGGTCTTGTATTTGTATTATGTATGGACGCATCTTCTGCTGTGGTGTTCTTCATGTGCAGTCATTCACTCGCTAGCATCAGCCATTCAATAATACCTTGTCTATCACCCAATGTACCAGTAGTATTCACATGCATCCTTGTTCCTTTGACTACGACAATATGGCACCGGTGACTGAGCACAATACAACGAAGTACAACATTCTAAAGTCACTGCTTTTGCTTCTTTTTCTTGTGAGATTTAGCGGGGTGTCGCTCGTCATCTTTTGGACGACAGCGATCCCTCTCCACCAACACAGGCCCGAGCTGCTCAGCGATGACTTTCACACCCGAGCCTGAATGTTGATGTATCACTCCAGCCTCAAGCGCCGGGACGAAGGACGCACTATCTGGTTGATCCTCATCAGCCTGTTGCGATCCATTGCGTTTGGCTCTCTTCTCCTTTCTCGCCTTCCGCGCGAGCTTCTCCTCCTTTCTGGCTTTACGCGCGAGCTTCTCCTCCTTTCTGGCCTTGCGCGCAAGCTTCTCCTCTTTTGTTCTCATTCTCTTCGCAGCGGAGCTCTCAGCGTCATCACTAAGCCCCTGCGATGAAGCAGGACCCGCAGGGTTGTCAACCTTCTCACCGACGAATGTGCCCTGGTCTTCATTGTCCAGCTTGCGCTTCTTGGACGTCTTGGTATGCCTTTTCTCGTCCTTCAACTTTCGCCTCTTGAGGGCCGAAGTAGATGAGCCACTGGCCTGTGGCTCTACATGGTCATCTGCACTCTTGTTTGTCTCGTCCCCAGCAATTGCCTCTTCGTCGGGACCCAGCACCGGCCCACGGAAGAACATGGAGTATAGTCCTCTTTTCACAGCTTCCCTTCGTGCCAGCGTTAATAGGCTCACTCGAGGCATGCTGGAATCTGACGGTGCTGAATCGGGGGTCGCGGTTCCTGAGGCAGCAGGAGTGCCATCCACTGGTCGTCGGTTCGATATGATGCCAGTCCTGGTTCTTGCAAAGGAGACAACAGAGGTTGAGGGTTCCATATCAGCCTAGATGTTGGTCAGAGACAAAAAATGAGTCAGGTAGGCGGCAGAACTCACAGAGTCTTCCTCGTCTGAATTAGCTACTTTCAACTTGATAGCCTTGGCTGCTGCAGAGTACAGGCTGTTTCGAACAGTGTCAGGAAATGCCCTACCAGATTATGATTGAAGCTCACTGGTCCCAGAACGGGAAGGCTTCGTCGCGATCCCTCCCTACACCTGCCATAGTTTTCTTCTGGGCAATGATCACAGGCCTGCTGATTGCACCTTCGCGAAGACCCGACCCTTTTCCAGCCCATCCTTGGGAGGAAAGGTATGCATGCCCGTCGAGAGGCATGGTGAAAGATGGAACACGGACAGAGAAATCGCCAGTGCTTGACCCTGGCTTGACCGTTGAGCGCTGAGCAAACAACCTGCTAGCATTCCCGATACTGCTTAATTCTCAATTAGGCTACGTTCCCACGTTTGTTTTTCCGCAACAGGACTCGCAAATGCAAGTTCCCTTGTAAGGCTCATAATAACTGCCTGAGTGCCTATTGAGGTATTTTCTAGTACATTGAATCGCATATTCCAACTGCGAAGGTGGCATCACGTTTGTTACGAGGGTCCGTGCGAGGCTTGTCGGTCACCGGTCATTGCCGGTGCTGAGTGAACCCTCCCGAACTTGAGGCGACAATCGTTATCCCCCTTTCCATCTCGCGATTCCCTGTTGTTGACTACTGACCAGTATTGCATGCTTTTAAGATGGCCATGACTAGTCTGTCTCCTTCGGTAGCTTCTTCTGGCTTTCAGAACCATGGTCGAGAAATGGGAGGTGACGCGGCATCTTCAGCTCAAGGCTCGATCTCTGGACAACATGCTGGTCTATCTGGCTCCCTGGATGACCCTACATCCTCGCTTCGTGCTGCAGCACTGATGACTCTTAAGTCCAAACGCCGCAAACCGACTAGTAATGTTAATCAGGACGCATCTCTGTCCGGACGGCCAGCTCCCGTTGCTCCGGATATCCAGCTGGATTATGGCGACGATGCATCTCTCTCGACCACAAGTAATGCCCGTCCTGTCGCAACATCTGCTCCGAATGAACTGGCTCCATCTTCTGATACAGCTCGCTTGACTGATGCTATGGAGGTGGAAGAAGGTCAGATCAGGGAGGAAGGTGAAATCAGTGACTCTGAGAGTCCGCCACCTCCCAAACCACTGAGTGTGTCATCTCCCACACCACTGAGTGCGCCACCTCCAAGAGAAGCTATGAAATCAAGGTTTTTGGAGGCGACTGGACCGACAATTCCTCCAAGAGTGCGGGCCCGAGTTCCTTCCCGGACAGCAGACGTCGAGGCTACTACTGCGACGTCGACCCGCACGGACCAGGCGTCTATGCTCCCTAACGGCTTCGCTGGTTCTTGGGTATCTAGTCCTACGCCGTTGTCTGGTTCTCCTACAGAGGATAAGGCCCGTGATCCCAGTGTCGACTATGTCCGGCCTGGCCTTCCTTGTAAGCGATCATGTCCTCTATTCAGCCTTAAAACTCAACAAGTGTTTGGTGCAGTAAACGATCAGCAGTACGAAGCTGCGAAAGACATAGTCCTGGACCTCCTAGGATGGGGAGTACCGCCTGAATTCCTCGTGTCCTGCGGTCTAAGCCGCGAGATCGTGTTCTACGTATTTTCCGACCTGAATTTGCGTCTACCGACGAATCTCGATATTACTGGGTTGGTGCTGGACGGAAGTTACCCTGGACAGTCGCATACAGCAGCTTTGCTGCCAACGTCTCAAGTCAGTCATTCCCGACGCCCCTCGACATCCCATCCAAGCCTTCCTGCCAAACCCGGAATATCGAATTCTGTTTCGCCTTCGACCCCTACAGCTGGTGCAACCGGTGTGACGAAGAACAACCTTTCACCTGCACCTGTTCAAGCGCCATCTTCCCCTAGCACGAGTCTACATGACATGGAGCAGTTACGGCGGCAAGAGCTACTAGCTCGCAAGGCTGTCCAGGCCTCGCGCAAGTCGAAGCTACCAAGTATAGAGATCGATGTGCAGGCTGGTTCAGGCCAACATCTCACAGTGTCAGCTACGTCTGCTGATGTCGACATGGCCTCATCAATCGCAGATGAGACCGTGGACGATTTTTTGAAGAGTATCGGACCAGCATCGGAGGAAGGGAGACCTTATCCCCTCGATGTTCGGAGTGGAGAAGGGCGGTCCGCTCAGGTTCGAAGCGAAAGCCACGATGACATGGACATCGATATACCCCTATCAGAGATCTATCGTCCTAAAGTCTCTGCGAACGGCGCACTTTCTTCTCAATCACGGGGTATGTCGTTTAGCCCGGTGACGCCTTCCGATACTACTTCCCCTTCGGCACCGCAACCTCCTCCAGTTGCATCCACATCTCCGTCCACTCCCTCTGTAGAAGATGATGGGTTGAACAGCGATACCTTGAACGGGTTGGTACCAAGGCCTAGTATGCTTCCGCCAACGCAACGGCGTGGGCTCAAGCGGCCGGTCGCTGCGGATTTCGTCGACCTTGAGCCGGAACCCTCGAGATATCGTCACCCTTATAGTATGGCTGGATACGTCAGGGGGAACACCTCTATGTCAAAGAAGACCGGTAGTTTTGCCAGCGTCAGTGGAATGCGCAGATGTGTCATCGATCTCAGCGACAGTGAAGACGATAACCAGACCGAAAGTAATGATGCGAGTGCCGGCAAGCGACGGTCGTACTCTCCAATTTCATCTTCAAATATGCGTGCATCGTCGCGAACCGCGACTCCGCCTAACAATTCACTACCACCTGATTTGCTGGAGAAAGAAAGGGAGATACAACGTATGAGGGAATTAATTGCAGAAAAGGAGCAGAGACGGCTACGGAAACTGGCGGAAGTGTGTTGCGCGTCTTTACACTGCAGAATCTAACTGAATGTCATCTCCAGTCAAGCCGGCCTCCGTCCGCTCTTTCCTCCCCTGGCACTCCCCGCCCTGCTACTTCTCAGCAGATTGCAAAGGACTTTCCCCCCTCCAATCCGCTGAAAGAAGAGGATGATGGACTGTCCTCGAATGCTTTGAGTCAAGGTCGCGGAAGCCCAGATTCCTCCACCAATGGCCGTGAGGAGACCAAAGAAGAGGACAGTATCATGAGAGACTTGATGACCACCGGCACTGGTTTGTTCCAATAATTCCCAGTCTCTTGCCGATATTCTGATCTTCGAGCAGAGCCTCAAATATCTAGCAGTTCTGCAATGACATCGGCCCAAACGTCTGGGGCTGTCACTCCCATCGGTTCTCGTCCCTCTCAATTCCTCGACAATGCGACTTCCAACTGACTGTGCTTTCTCCATGTCTTCTCGCGCCTTCACCTTTCGTATTATCGCACTTGTCTCGGTGTAGACGGAGCGCCGAAGCCTCTCGAGCATGTCACTACAGGGGATCAAGGCAAGTAATCGCAATGTTCTTGACTGTTATGAGGGATGAGATCTTGATGAATACTTCTCGATGTCCTTGGATTCGCTGTCCTATCCGTGCAATCTGCACATGACTTGGCTGACCCTTGTGCTCGTGTCCGTCGGTATATGACCCTTGCTGGCCCCACAGTTCTGACCGCCGAGGAACGATATGAACAAGTGGCAAGAATATTTTCTTTTGCTCCAGCCGTTGTCGGCAGGGCGATGAAATGCGGCCTAACTGAGGCTTCTTTTTGCACGGCGCCCTTTCAGGCACGAACGGACGAAGCAGCAAGCCGTCAAGAATCCATAACGGGGATGGAGGAGGCATGGACTGGCGGACAGGTGCGTAATCTCATTTCCCCTGTTCACCTTATGGAATAGTCTGTTCAGCGAGTCAAGCGCCATATATGCTGACGAGAACTGTCGGCGAACTTCCGCACTGCAGACACTCACATCGGTCCACCAACAACCATGGTCTGAACATCAGAAAGGTGCTGACTTTGCCAGCAATTTTACTGAATACGTCCCTATTCTTGAGAGGTATCCTTTATTGCGTACGAGCTCGCGGAGTTCTCTGCTACGTCCATCGTCACATGCTTCGTGTTCAAAATCTATAGCATCTTCATCTCCTTCCCTTGAGCTACATCTTGTTTCTCGCTCTTCTCCTTTCCCTCCTCTCCCTGATCTCAAGCCTCTCAAACTCTCTGCGGCAATGAAGGCGTTGCTTTCTCTGCCCGACTGGACCGAGAAACGCGTTTGCCAGTTCGAAGTACCTGGCGGCGGCGAATGCAGGGATGCTACGTGCGAGGACGTGCATCTGAGCCGAGTCGAAGGTGTGGGCGTTGAGCCGAGCGGTAAGAGTCTAATTATTCTAGACATTGGGTGGCTTATCGTAGACCATGCTTTTTCATTTCATTGCATATTCATATTACTGGTGGCGATACTCACCCTGCTTCTTTTCTTTGCCCGCGACTTCCGCTTCTATGTCTTCATTATGCATAGATGAAGAGACGGCGCAATTCCTCCACGACTCGTTGCCAGAAGCAATCCGGACGCGCTTGCAAGTGCCAGAGATCAAGTCAGTTCTCGAGAATATTCGCTGGCGAGGCTCCAATGAGAAAGCGACGATCCCATTCGAAGAACGGGTTGCGGAAGCGTGGGCATTCCTCGGATCTGCAGGACAATGATTGACTTCCTCTCCTGTAACCTCGGAAAGAAGAACAGGCCAGAAGGGCACGCCAAGTTCTGGGCCGCGGACATTGGGGACGAAGGATGACAAGAGCGTACGGCCCAGGGAAACAGAAAGAGCGCGTTGCGCCATCAGACTGGCCCTCGTGGCCGGTTTGACAGTGAATGAACAGGATGACGATGCACTGTCAAGAACGCTCTTTCGAGAGCGTACTGGGCCGTTGATTGTGTTGTCAATCGCGGCATGAGACTGGGCTACCCTTGAAGGTGGCATGTGGTCGGACGACGCGTCGCGGATTTTGTGTTGTAGTTGCTTGCTTATTGTTGATATTGACTATGCTAAACATGCGGACAATGTGGTATGCAATTGGTATGATATGTTCGATATGTTGTTAGCTTTTGTTGGATGTTCCGGAAGAGGGAATATGTGGATGAAGCGGGCCCCGAGTCACCTCGTGAGGGGACGGAATCAGAGAGCGGCTCTACCGCTGGCAAACTCGAGGCCATAAACTGAAACCCTCCTACCCGATATGGCTAGGACGTTTCTATAAACGAGGGCTGCGGAGGGTTGATTGGAGTGGCGTGGGAAGGCCTGCCGGGGGCCCGAGTTACGCGGCTGTTTGTGTCTATTTGTTCTCGCCCGCTGACAACAGTGCATTGTCAGTCTGCCCCGCCGGTACAGACGAGGTCGAGGGCGTGTATCGTGCGTTTTCTCGGTTCGGAACCGCACAGAGCTTGCAGGACAGCGGGCAGACTCCTATCTGGCCGCGGTCGGGTGGAGAGTCGGCCGGAGAGAAGGAAGGGATGGACAGACCGAGAAGTGGCGCGGGGATTGCCGGCGGTGACTAAAAGGGAAACTTGCTGTACCTGAAAAAGCCCTATATATGGGATCAGGGTTGGTTGACTCCCCTTTTTGACCTCGCTCCCTACCACAACCGGCCATTCCCTGCCATTCCTTTTTGGGCGGCTACTGCTCGACCTCATCGCCGTCCTCAACGTCCTCGACGTCCCTCTCAGCACCGTCGCCCCCGTCGGTCGCCTTTTGCCTATCGACTGCTCTACTGTTTATGGCAGCGCGCGCATTGCTGCCGACGCAGTCTCAGATTCAACCAGTGTATCAACCGTATCCCAACGCAGCGGCACCCACTCAACACTCGCCTTCCCTTTCGGGCACCATGCAACACCCAGAAGAGTCCGCCTCCGCGCCTCAGACAGCTCCCTCTCCTAATCTCCGTAAACGGCAGCGCACAGATGCCTCCAACGACGGGGCCCACCACAACCCCGGCGCGCCCCAGGCCCCCGTCGCCGGCGACGCGTTCATCCAGGATAACGACGCCGCTGCTAGTGGAGGTGACGACGACGACGAAGATGATGACAAGCCCAAGTCAGACAAGAAGGCGGGGAGGAGGAAGATCAAGATCGAATTCATCCAAGACAAGTCAAGACGACACATCACGTTTTCAAAGAGGAAGGCTGGTATGTATCCGCGTTGTGTCGTCTCCCAAATGAGTCGTGTCCTTGACACGCCGTTTCACAGGTATTATGAAGAAGGTATGCGTCTTTGCGTGTCGAAACACGTCTATTTGCTTGGCCTTAACCTACGCGTCCCTAGGCCTACGAGCTGTCCACTCTCACGGGCACCCAGGTTCTGTTGTTGGTTGTTTCGGAGACTGGCCTCGTCTATACCTTTACCACTGCAAAGCTTCAGCCCCTTGTTACCCAACCGGAAGGCAAAAACCTCATTCAAGCCTGCCTGAATGCACCGCACGGCACCCTCCCGTCATCTATGCCTGTGGGCACTCCCATAGGTCGCTCTAACGCGGGCCCGATGATGGGCAATACCACTAATCCTGTCGGTGGCTTGTCCATCGGCGGCGCCCAAGGTGGCAAGGAAGAAGACGCTGGAGGAGAGGAGGATGAGTCGCGCGGTGGCAGAGGAGAAAAACGACGGAGACGCGCGTCATCCACTGCTGGTAACCAAGGTTCATCTTCTGCTACAGTTCAACGCCGTTCTTCTCACTCACCGCCTGAACCACCTATTCCCCTCTTGACTACAGGTGCCCAGCAAAGCCAAGCCCCCGCACCCACTCAGCACTCCCAGATCTCGCTGAACTCACCTACGACGCCCGGTAACGGTCCCGCCGCATCTCAAGGCCAACCCCAGTCTGCTGGCGCTCAACCTACATCGCCTAACTACACGCACGGCCCTGCACCGCCCGGTGCTTACGCTCACCACCCGGGACACCAGGGCGACCCCAATGCCATGTACGGTGCTCAGCATATGATGCCTCCTCCCGGTTACTACGGTGCTCCTGCGGGTGGTGGACACCCAGGGCAGGGCGGACATTTGCCCTCGCCACAACATTGGGGACCGCCGCCCCCTAGCGTGCAAGGTGGTCAGCATTACGCCGGTAGAAGGTGAATCGCCGACTACCGTACGAGTAATGGTTGCGCAGAGGAGGGTAGGTAGGCCGACGTTAGATGTTGATGAATGGAGACCACATATACGGACGTCACCGCCGTCGCCGTCTCAAAGGATTCCTCTGGCGTTTTATCTTTTTTATTCCATTGCGATTTCTTTCTTTCCCTCTTGACCGGGCTTCTTGTGGTTGTTGGTGACATAGCACCGTGTCTGACAAGCAGATCGCGGACGCCTGTATCGCCGTCCTCGCCGTGGCAGACGATGCAAGCCTTGACCTCGTTACCACAGTCTCTAACTTGAGCTTTCTATCAATCAGGATTGTTCTGATAGGTGGGCTCTATGGGATATGCTCCATTGTCTTGCAATTGTTCTTGTCTAAAGATGTATTATACTACGAAATGTCTTTTTGAAAGTTGGCCTGTAGCTTGCGCAAGATGTGGTGTGTTGTCTCCTTTTCTGAATAGCGTACTTCTTGGTGGCCTTGCATACATGTACATACGAACAGGAATTGCAGATCTTATCCTCGTATTCCAGTATATATTGCATGCCCCGTCCCTTAAGCTTGTGAGGGCTTGGCGGGTGACAATCAGTGGGGACGTCGCGTCGCTATCGAGGACGCTTGAATTTGTTGCCCAACCGCCGACAATGACGCTTTCCCATGACATTGTAGCTTAGATAAACTTTGGATAAGAAACTGAATACGCAATAGGAGCATGTTCGCGACGATCATGAATGAATGGGCTTGAATAGGGCGCGTGTACGGAAGCATTTCGCGCTCGGACCAAGTAGGATACTGCATGATAGCAACTATACCTGATGCGCCATGCCTACATACCATAACGGACGGCCTCCGCTAAGCCGCGAGCGCAAAGTTTGAGATTGAGAATCTCACCCATGCCACAGAGGGATCTTTGGTTCCGAAGCCAGGACATACCGCCGGGAACGTTGTCAATGATCAAGCAAGAAGGAACGTCTGATATGAAGTGACATGTCGACAGCTATGTTTTCCTTCTTGCCTTACTCTGCTTGTTTTACCACGTTCATACAGTAGGTTAGAGTTGCTCAACGCCCGCCTCATGTGACAGGGTATTTTTGGGGTAGGATCGGGTTCTTGCGCCTTGGAGGTACTTGTTTTAGCTGCGTGGGGACGCAGATATCCCGAGAGCTCGAGGTGATAGCCGTGTATGGCTCTGCCATGGTCCTTCTAGGAGCGGTCTGGGCTTCTAGTGAGGAGCGCAAGCATGCCTGTTTTAGCATGTACACGATCCCGGAACTCGGAGGATGGTGAGGGGTCGCCGAGGTGCAAGTCGATACATGACGTTAATTCCATAAAGCACTTTCAGGGTTGATGAAATGCTTACTAGTGAGGGGCGGGGCTCGAGAATAAGGTGTAAAAGCAACCAAGAGATCAACAAGAGTCCACAAATGGTCAGTCCTGCCTAAGATTTGTTAATAATCGCCCCGTTATCACAAGGGATACTCGGTGCCGGAGGGAGCGGCAGGACGGCGAGATAACGTCCATGATAGAGTCTAGAGTCCACGGGCATCCAGATCGACTTGGTCAGTGACGAGCTGTGGATTTTGACCCAAATCGTCAGCAGCTTCATGTCATGTGTTGCTCTGTGAAAGCCACCTCCTTAGGCTCCTAACCCGAGCTACTAAGCTAGAAGCCCAACGTGGGTGGGTGCAGAGCTGAACGACAGCATCAAGCACGCAGCCAGTGGCCGCCCAGGAGCCAGGTATCTCGGCGTTCTAAAAGGCCAGCTCCTAAGGAATTCTCCGAAATGAACTTGAGTCTCACGCCATTAATGTATCTGACATACCTGCTCGGCGTCATCGGGAGACCCAACCAGTCACGTTCCGTTTAAAATTTGACTGTCTGCAAGACGTGGTGGGTGGGACCTAATAAATTTAGCGGGTGCTTCATTTCCGACTGTTGTCGATGATTGGGATGAAGTTGACCAGGAATATTGTCCGTATGGTCACGAAGAGCTTAGAAGGGGCTAGAAGAGTCTGCTAAAGGCGCGGATCTGGAGAGGTGCAACATCACCAGTGTTTAATTGCGGGCATGCGGCGGGTTCGAATTCATACAACCGCGCCGACCACACAGGATTGGCCGTTGGATGAGCAGGATCGAGCGGACGCTAGACCCCAATCACCTGTTCAGGACTACTGATAGTGGGAACTGATGCACTGACTGCAGTGGCAAGAAACCGGCAATCCGCTTGCAAAGAAATCGATAGCAGGAATAGTCATCTTTGCCCAAGCCTTGAAGCGTAGACTGCGTCAATGACGACAGACATATGGTCGCGCAAGTTGCACGTCATATCCATCCATTGGGGGCGGACGGTGACAGGGTAAGAGGACAAGTGTAGAACGTACGGGGTATCCCCAATGAGCTGGACTAGACAACTCCCGCGTAGAAAAATGTAGTCAGCTTTTGTCATAGTCATGGCCCATACTCTCCAATAATCCACGTACATTGGATCTATGGAGGCGCATAGCCTGACATTTTGATTAATGCATGCATGTCGGATAGTCGCCAATCTGCAAGGATGTGCAGGGTCCAGTATGTGAAGCAGGACGCGTGCATGGCCGTGCACTGTGACGGGTTCGACGGCAAGTCACTAGCACTGACAAGCTGTAGTCTCCTTTATTTGATGTGACAGCAGAATGGAGAGCTGGAGGTCATATTAGATGCACGTACCGTTGGCATTCAATGAAAATATTTGGTCGGTCGTTGATCGGCGATGGACCCTGAATTGAACGGTACGAAGCGGGCACATAGATCACAAGGTGAGCGGAGGGACCGGTTGCTACTTTGGCGACCATAGCAACCGGTCGCGGTCAGATTCAAGGTGCCAACCTGCCGTAAACTACGATGAAAGGATGATTGGATAGGTATTCAAGTCGACTGCTGAGCTATCGCCGCCCCAATCGCAGACTGTCATAGGCCTCGCTGGACGGAATTAATAGAGCAGGTGCACCAACTGTATGTCCGGTCAGAACAGCTGCAACGAGGCACGGCTCTGAATAAGCACCAAATGGCTGGACAGCGAGATAGGAAGATCGAAGAACGAGGAGCAGACGGCAAGGAAGGGCCCAATGGCAGCCGAGAGCGTGTTATCTTGGTGCGATATCGATACGGATGAATTGCAGGTAATATATACATGTCTTCGTGCAACGGGTGATTCCCCTAAGCCGAGCCGAACTTCAGCATACAAAATTATCTCCACGAGCCTGTATGATGTTCCGTAAGTGCAGAGGACGATCGGCAGGAAGAGGAACTCCACAATTAATCCTCCGGCCATGTCACTTGTCCAGCAGCCCAGCGGTCTCCCCACATCACCCGTTTGTGGTACACCTTCCTCATACTCTTGAACTCCTTGACGAAGTCGTCGGTCTCCTGATTCGTCGCAGGCGTTGGTGACACCGAAGACGACTGAACAAACGAGGAGGCAAGTGCCTCGCTGAGATCGTCCTGGGCGGTCGTGGCGTGCCTCAGTCGCATCAGCAGAAATTGAGGGGTGAACCTCTGCGGGGAGAAAACCATCTAAGCAAGAGACCGAGTGAAGATGCAAGCTCCGGACCTGGTACATCTCCCTCTGTTCTCGTTCAAGCTCCTTCCATCTCGCTTCAAGTGCGCGGGCCTCGTCGAAGGCATCCTTGGTCTCCGATCGGAGCTTATACAAGCTGTCTTGTAGTGAAAGATTGTTCTCTACCAAAGGCCCGTGTCATCACCACGGTTTGGCCAGAAATTAGTCCAACACCATACGTGCTATAGACTCATTAGCGGATCCTAGCTCCGCTTGGGCTTGGTATAAGGCCTTCACCCTCGGGAGAGAGTGGAACACTGCCTGAAAGTACAAAGGATCGGCTAGGAGATCTTCCAAATCCTCCCGACTGTCCTAGTGACATGAGCACTTCCACATTTGTTACGGGTCCTTCTGCCCTTACGATAAATGAGAGAGCTCTGGAAATTCCGCAAGTAGAGGTGTCGCCATCGTTGACGGCAACGAATAAGATGGAAAAGAGGTTTGATGCAGACTCAGGATGGCTGAGAGAGATATCATCGCAGTGAGATCTATTTCGGGTGATTTGACCTGCCGTCTCGCAGCCACTATGTCCGAATACCTCCTGCCCGGGGAGCTCGTCCCAGCGCAACATATCAACCTAAAGCTTGGGCCAGGCCTCTTACAAGTATCAAATCCCTCCAACGTAATATCCACAAGAGCGGGTGCAGTGCATCACTCTGCGAACCGAAGTAAATGGTGGATTGAAGGCAACGCGCGACGTGTGAGCGGTACATTGAGGCGTATACAGAGCATCGGATGGCTTATTGTCCAACGGGAAGGCGTAGTATGTACCAGCTGCTCAGGAGTCCGTCGTAGGAGTGGTCATCGCACGTAGCGGCGATGGTTATAGAGTGGACATCGGTGCAGCACATATGGCGAACCTGGACGGGCTGGCCTTCGAGGGCGCGACGAAGCGGAATAAGCCCAATCTGAAGGTGACGAGAAGTAGTTCTGTGTCATCTGCTGGCTGCTCAGCCTTTGTCTCTCCTCCCGTAGGTGGGCGCTCTGGTCTACGCCCGAATCTCGCTAGCCCATAAAGACATGGAGCCCGAGCTCGAGTGTTTCGACGCACAAACTCACAAGTCGGCAGGCTTTGGGGAGCTTAAGGAAGGTTTCTTGGTGCGCTGTAGTTTGAAGATGTGCCGACTGTGAGCCTCTCCGCTAAATCTCAGTTGCCGTTGTACTTGACTATTGTCACAGGCTGCATGACCCGAAATATTTCTTACTACCTCTGCTAGGCTCCAAGTTTCCGATGGAAGTAGCGGTGGGTATGAACGGCAGGGTCTGGGTGAATGCGAAGGAGCCGAGGCACATCATTTGCATGTCCAGATGCATCGAAGCGGTAGATCCTGATGGTGGTGGCTTGGATGAGTCGGGCACCAAAAAATTCCTGGACACTCTCAACGACTGATGTCCAAGGTTCTCCATGGGAAAGGCACAAACGCCATCTACTTACACTATTATCGCAGGATTACACTTGCAGACCCTATAAATACCGTACCAACCCAGGTTGACTACCACAGCAGCGGGGGACTTACCGATATAAGATACAGTCGTGATTCAACCCTCCAGAGCCATCCTCTGCCTCTTTGTGGGTCGTCTGCCAGAGCTTACACTTTCGTCGTCGCTAATGGTCCCAACACTCTGCCCTCGAGCACTTGCTCTCTTCTTGCGCTGGTATTCTCTGTCTCTTAGCTTCTTGGCTTGGGCGGCATCGAGGGATTGCCCTTTAGGTGCAGCTGGCACATGAATAGTCATTGGTCCGGAGCCTGATGATTTGCCATCATCTACCGTGGCTGAAGACTCTTCCCCTTCTCCGGCGAGTTCGAGGGACTTTATCGCGCGTGGGTTAGGGTTGGGATGAAATAGATTCGCAAGCGGCTCGCCTTTTGATAAGTCAAGCTGCTCGTAGAGAACAGCCTATCCGCATCGCTGACTTCGTATCTCCTCCTACCGGTTGTCTGGTTCTTGAGGTATCCGTCAAAGCCTTGGATGATGTTGCCGCCACTGTGAGCCGCTGTGTCGGCGAGATAGGATCCCTCGAAGTTGTATATCTGAACTTCTAACTGGGCCTTGAACTACATTGGCATATGAAGGGAGTCAGAGTGAACACCAGGTACCTACCAGTTGTTTGTCGATGGCGCGTTTCTTCGTGAGTGCTTGTATCAGTTCCTTCTTGGCTGCTTCGAAGCGAGCCCTGTCCTCCACCGTGGGCACCGACCCGTCTGCCATAGTCCCTCAAAGTAGGGCCTTCGCTGGGTCACAAAACGCTGGGATCCCTCTCCTATGCAGATTCTGAGGGTTAACAGTGTCCTGTGGCAAGCTCGGGCGGCGGATATGGCCGGGGTGTAACTGGACTTGTGGCGCCCATTGCCAGTGTGGCCAGCTCGATCACTTCCCACGATTGTTTGCCTATGTTTGGCCCCGGACGCGCGTCGAGCGCGTCTGACGTTAGCTGAAGCTCTTACCATCCAAGCCTGTTAGCCCACCCGCCATGTCGTCCGCTCAACCGCCCGTTCCACCACCAGAAAATAACAACGAGAAGCAGCCAGAGTCTTCTGCGCCGTCCTCCTCTGAGTCGCTCTCCCAAGATGCTCAGATGGACACGACTCCCGACGCGCCCACGGAGGAGGACTGGTCAGACATTCCGGAGGAAGTAATGGCGCTGAGCACGGACGAGATTCTTACGAGAATCCGATTGATCGAGAATGATGTGAAGGTAAGTTCAGCGAGCCGTCGTATTGTACGGCGGTACTGAATGAGAACTCCAGGTCATGCGTTCAGAGACACTGCGATTACAGCATGAACAGAGCGTCATGAAGGAGAAGATCCGGGATAATGGAGAGAAGATCAAGCAGAATAAGGTCTTACCATATCTTGTGGGGAATGTCGTCGAGGTGAGTTGGCGCAGGACCCTATACCATTGCTCGTTAATAACACTTAGGACAGATTCTAGACGTCGATCCCGAAGGTCAAGAGGAAGGCTCTGCACGTGATTTGGACTCCATGCGCAAGGGCAAGTGTGCGGTAATCAAGACTTCAACAAGACAAACCGTATTCCTGCCCCTCATTGGTCTCGTGCCTGCCGAGAAGCTGAAGCCGGGTGACCTGGTTGGCGTGAACAAGGACTCCTACCTCATCTTGGACACTCTGCCAGCTGAATTTGATTCAAGAGTCAAAGCCATGGAGGTGGACGAGCGTCCGACAGAATCATACACGGATATCGGTGGGCTTGAGAAGCAGATCGAAGAGCTGGTCGAGGCCATCGTGCTTCCCATGGAACAGGCCGACAAATTCAAGACGCTAGGTATCAAGCCGCCGAAGGGTGTGCTGATGTATGGGCCACCCGGTATGTTGCCTGTCCTCCCGGAAGTACTGTTTATCTCCGTGCTCACCGTGACAACGCCAGGTACGGGGAAGACTCTACTGGCAAGAGCGTGTGCCGCGCAGACGAATGCGTGCTATCTTAAGCTGGCTGGTCCGTCACTGGTCCAGATGTTTATCGGTGACGGTGCGAAGCTCGTGCGAGACGCGTTTGAATTGGCGAAGCAGAAGGCACCCGCTATTATCTTTATAGACGAGCTGGACGCTATCGGTACCAAGCGATTCGACTCGGAGAAGAGTGGAGACCGCGAGGTTCAGCGGACAATGTTAGAACTTCTCAATCAGTTAGACGGATTTAGCAGCGACGAGCGAATCAAGGTGAGTGCATGTATTCAGACTCCGTGCTCGAATGGCTTTTGACGTTATATTGCATATTTAGGTCATTGCTGCAACGAACCGAATAGATATCCTGGACCCGGCTTTGCTTCGGTCAGGACGACTCGACCGTAAGATCGAGTTCCCCCTTCCAAACGAAACTGCGCGAGCACGGATTTTGGAGATCCACTCTCGCAAGATGACCGTTGGACCTGACGTCAACTTTGAAGAGTTGGCAAGAAGCACGGACGAATTCAATGCCGCTCAACTCAAGGCTGTGTGTGTCGAAGCAGGCATGATTGCATTGAGAGAGGGTGCTACGAAGTTGGGCCATGAGCATTTCTTGAGCGGGATCGCAGAAGGTGAGTCTTATTTGTGGCTTCTGAGATAGGGGTTTACTGACGTCTGGCCTATTTCTAGTCCAAGCAAAGAAGAAGAACGACCTTATGTACTTCGCCTAGACTGCTTTGTTGCTCTCCTTCCGCTTATATCACTTCTCATTTGTCCGTTGGATGGCTCGAGAATGGCTGGCACTCTACGGACCTTTTCGAGACTGATGTGCCTGCACGATATCTGAGACTCGGACCCGGTGAGCCTCCTATCGTTCAGTTCATTCAATGAACAAGGATGGTACTCCTCCGCGGGTCGTAGGCCGGCCAGTGCAGACCGTGAACGCTTGGTATGCGTTCCCAGCTGTATTGATGTTACTGACTGATTGCGCTCCCCATTGGCTGTGACGTGATTCCCTGACCTCATGCTCTCTCGTGCTTCCAGGATGTTCGACGAACCAATCCTACTTCTCGGTCGGTCCGCTTCGCCGACAGTACGATGGGGCAACGTGCCCCCGTGTGTACAGCCTTCTCACTCCACGGGCTGCAGCCGCGATCCAGAGTCGGCGACTAGAGTGATCTCGGGTTTCGTGCTGGACAAAGTCCCGTTGGGCCTAAGATGTAACGTGTATTGGATGCCGGAGCTTTCCGTGAGTTCAGTATAACAACGCGTTCCTAGTCCCGCCGATCGAAGATTGCAAGAACAGACCAAGAAACGGCTTGCACTTCTGCGTGTGCCATCGTAGTATAAAAGGAGCGCCTCTCCTTCCCAGACCCTCAAAATCCATACCAACTCCCCAACAGCTCTCACCGAGCAACCACTAATATGCTTATGCTCACGATGTTAATGTCCTATTTCTTTGCGCTGCTGGCTGTCGTCTCTGCCGTCCCCGCGCCTCGTGATGGGACCAAAGGCCAGATCGTCAAACCCTCGTCCGGGGACACTATAGCACCAGGACAGGCCTTCGACTTCCAATATAATACGCGAGCAGATTATGGCTCGTCGAGCTATAACTTCACTGTCTGGCTCGTTACGTCTCCTGCTACTTCGATGTCACCCTCGGATGAATGGATGCAAGGGCACTACTTCGGACGATTCCAGGAGGCAAATTATCCAGGTGTGTTCATGTCGATTTCAATATGCCGTCCACTATAGCTGACAATCTCTTAAGCTGTCCCGTACCCAACCAACCCCCCTCCGTCGCAGCTCGTTATGCCCAACCTTGCTCAATCCCCGGGCGGCTTCGGCGCTGGTGCTACTGCCGTTGACGCGACGTTCTATCTCGTTGTCTTGGAAGAGTGGGACTCTGGCGATGTATGTCCATCTGTAGGTCTGTTCGTAAACTGCCATCACTAACCAACTTTCGCAGGGTGCCCTTGGAGCAAAAATAGGACTTAGCATGGTACCTATCATTTATAATGCCACGTCCTCTAATTAAGACTGGACAATGGGACTCTGGAAGACTTCCTCGGGCCTTTCTGTATTTAATTTAATTACTACCTGCATCCTGGACACGCCACGGACTAGATCAAACGGACTCGGACGATGTGGGACAGTTTCGAGAGACTCTTTTAATTACGTTGTAACTCGTCACGAACTATTTTGATAGGCTACTGACTTGGGCTCGTGGTTTCTGGTTTTACTTACAAATACTGTACTGGTTGAACAATCATTGTTGTCTCTTTCGCCGTACATTCCGTCAGTCAATCCCGATGAGGGCATCGGGCTGCCTTATATGGATGCGTCAGCTCCCCGACGCGAAAACATCAGCTAACACCCTCATTCTTCAGTCTAGAGGACAATGCGGTATACACGTATACCTTAGCGAATGGTAACGTTATAGACAGAGGGTGTGAAGAAATTATCATTTGCATACGGTGAGTTGCAGGTGATGAGATGCCACAATAGTACAATGGACTCGGAGGGTGATAAACACAACATAAAATCACAGCAATATAACAGCAGATACGTTCCCTACTCGAAACCAACTATTCTGCTTAACGGTCGTAAGTTCATCACCGGCTCGACAGGCACCGGAACTTCAGCTACTTCTTCGAGGTCTTCTTCGTCACTGTCGGATCCACGACGCGTGCGTCCCGGAATACCAAGGACACTGACTACCCGACTAGAACATGTTGTCGTACTCCTGTCATCGGTAGGAGGTGCTTGAAGGGACTCTGCATGCCTGGAGAGTTGCTTCGCCAGGTCGTAGTCCAGTTCGACGTCGAAGAGGTCCAAGATGTACCTCCGAACAGGCAATCGGTACCGATGGGTAGAGATTGTGTGCAGGGCCCGATAAAACATGGCAGGGGAAGAGAATACCTCCTTGCATTCAAGCTTCGTTTTCAACCTGCGTACAATCAGATCACTTGGTAAGGTCCAGCCGTGATGAGTCTCACCTGGCTAATGTCCGCGAGGCCTGATTCGCAATGACAGTGTTAGCTAAGTTGTGTATGGCAGTCATGACTTCATTTTCATTTTGCGATGTCGGCGGGATTAACTGGCCCCCAGGCAAGGATGTAGTTGGTGTGTCCCAAGACGGGACCTGACGAGCACCAATAAGTAGATGCTTTGGGAGGCTGCCAGAGAGGACGTACGAAAATAAACTTCTCCAGGTCTATGGGAACGCATAACCCAGTAGGAAAGCCAGTGGGCGATAATGTTGACTCCCATTGATAGTCGTCTAATATCTCTGCACCTTGAGGGGTTGCAGAGAGGAGGCCGAGCACAAAGAAGCACGTCCTATGATATTTTGAGTGAGACGCACGTTACAGTGGTTACCGATGCCGACATACCCCCGAACAGTCAACACGGGTGACTTCTCTGCTATCTCGAGTATGGATGGTATAATTTCCTCCTCTTCCAAGAAGGGTAAGCCTCCTTCTGTTGCACCAATGTTACCCTATCGAAAGCATTGTATTATTACCCTCCCGTCGCAAGGGTAACAATGACTTACCACTGCCCATAGTATACTCTTCAGTTTGATTATAAGTTCTGTGTCTTCGCTCTCCAGCCCATGTTGCCGAATGAAATCAGCAAACTCAGCGAAATGCCCCTTCTCGTGCAGCACTTGGCAACCGAGTTCCGTCTTGGTCATTTCACCATAGAAATGCCGAGGGACAGAGATGTCCGAGGGGCTAGATATTAGTCCGCGAGAGAAACCACACCAGAAGAGAATCACTTACCCTGTAGCGGCGCTTTCTTCCACGGTCGGGGCATTAAATGCTTTTGCTAGGTAAACTTCGATTTGCACAACATAGTACGAATTACGCTCCTAGAGAAATGCATTCAGCGCGAGCCGGATAGTTGACACCGCTCGTCTCACATGAAACCACATATCAATTTCCCGGTCTATGTAGCCTGCGTCAAACAGGTACCGAAACCCGACAGGAGTCGACATGAATCTAGCGAGACTGTCAGATGCTGTGTTATTTCGGAGACGGATGCGTACTTCATCAATAAGGGGTGGCCAATCTCTCCGAGATGATCCAATGTAGGTTGCATTTCGACGACAAGACGCAGGATCTCCATAGACTCGCAAGTTTCCTGGAGGTATTGCACTGCCAGTTCACATACCTCCATAGCGGGATCGTACAGTTGAGTCAGTAGAAGCCGCAGGGTCCAGGCATTAGCTTTGGCGCTTTCACCCAGCAAGCCTCCGAGATGGGTAGTAGCGAACATCCTTATGTGCTAAGGGTATGTCAGCTGAGAGTAAAAACTATATTACTACCACTGACAACATAGCTGGATGTCAGAGCCTTCGACAGAACTATCCGCGAATGCCCGTCACTTGGAACGCATATCGTTAGGCCTTGGTGCGGCAGGGGAGACATCACTCCACTCACATGCTGTAATCCAAATGTTGTATGATGCCCTTAATCAAATCATCACGACTACGGGTGTCGCTGAGATGGTAAAAGGCGGTGAATATCTTGAACTTCTCCATCAGCCTGTGGTATTCATATATCATAAGAGTGCCCGTGAAATCAAGATACCATGGAAAGCTTACTCTACGCCCTTTTCGTGTGCACTGAGTGTTCCCAGCATCTCCAGGTATCCGTAAGTAAGGGTGTCCTGGACTCGTGCTTTGGAAAATATGGGATCTGACTCCAATGTGCCGTTGGAATTGAACTACGCAGTAGTTCAGGACACATGATGAGGTAGCAAACGCGGACTCACAGGATCAAGTTGCGCAAAGCACTTCACAATCTGTTTGAGGAACTCATCTTCCGACTCCAGGAAACGTCTGCCATCCGGACTTTCAAGTAGGGTATTGAGCAAAGTGCAGCCCAGCCTAACCCAACGATGATTGCCCTGTACATGGGGCATTAGACTCACTCTACCGCTGTGTCACAGATACACAAACTTTTGTCCTTGGAATGTCAGAGAAGCGATGACTGAACGGATGGAAGAAGGACATAAGTTTCCGGATGAACCGCGAAACTTTGATAGCCTCTTCCATTCGCTTCGGATTGCGCAGAGGACCTTCAACGAGGTCTTCCAGGGTTTCGAAACTCCATTTTGTATGGTCTTTGGTCAGCATGACCTTATTCACAGGTCACAGGATGATTCTATCCAGAGACACGATCTGATATCCTACCTGTGTTTCGAGCAGAGCAGCCTGGAAGGTTCTATCGTCCATCTGCATGCCCATTTTCAGCTTCACTTGTTCGACTTGTCGCTGTCCTCTCCGAACTGCATCTTCGCCAGAATTTGCTCTGCAAGGGCGCGCTTTAGTGCGACACGGAAGTCATTCCTCCTGGATATTACTGACCTTGGTCGATTATTCTTCAAGTTCGCAGTGGGATGCAATCGAGCCGAATTACGGTTGAAACTGTCCAGAGCCGACAAAGCCAAAGAGCCGATGATCCTATGCTCACCGCGACCATAATCCGAAGCGAGATCAAAGACCCTAGGAATGCTCTGTATTATGAAGTCAGATTCGTCTGGTCCCCGGCAATCCACCCAATAACCGGACCTGGATTTTTGCGGCTTGCGACAATGGCAATAGCCGGTTGGCAAGCTGAAGCACCTCAGCCATAAGCAAAGTGGCCTTCCGAGACAGGCTCGAGCCTGTTGTCGACTCCTCGAACATGCTTGTTAACGCCTGCAGGACTCAGTAACGAAGCCTTAAGAGGGCTACAATCCGATGGTACTGACATCTAGCAAACCAGCTTTCGTGAAAACCAAAATGAGCAGCGAAATATACTGGTCCGTCAGCTTCAAACTCTCAGGCTCTTGGGGTTTTTTAGAGGGAGACACGGGGGCTGCAGACTCTGTAATCTGTACGGAGCGTCGGTACACTACCCCATGTCGTTCATCTCGAATTCATCTCGAAGGTGCTGCATACGCACTTGTCAGCCGACGGCCATCGATAAAGGTCTGATGCCATTCAGGTGGCTTGATGTTTAGTAGGTCGAAAAACATGTCGATTATGATTTCCTATGTCACGAATCAATATAGTTAAAAAGGGTCTACACAAATTGTGTACAAAGCGCCTTACTCTCGAATCAAGTGATGGTATCCGTAGTGTATCTATGATTGTCCGGATGGCCAACATATTGCCCATGCTAAAGTACATTAAACCTGTGGGTGATGTCAGCTAGAGGGTCGGTGTTTACTACGCGCGTACTTACCACTCCAAGTCCGCAAAAGCATGACGATAATCTTCGCGCACGCACGCATTCTTTCATCATGCTCAGGTCCCTTGCCATAAGCATCTGTGACACCTGACAACGCTATCTGCCGCAAGGTCCCGTCAAAAGGTAAAGAAGGGACTGTCAAAAAGTGCACCTCACCTCGAAATCGGTTCCAGGATGGAGATATTTACGGGTCCTAGGTATGTCCACAACATGGAGGAACACCGAAGCAAGAATCGGAGCGACCTCGAGGGGCCCTTCGGCTAGGACATGAAGAAGCAACCTAATGCCTCCTGTCCTTGACATCAAATCTATGTCGATAAGCACTAGAAGGCATTGTCATTGTGCAATGGGCTTCTTTGCTGCAAGAATACTCACAAATTTCCGCTAGAGTCTCGAGGCACGCAAGTCTCAAAGGGTCTTCCGGTTGCTCTGCAATTGCGATGAAAGCTCTCATTACGCCGTCTGAGAGTGGCACCGAACCCGAACCAGCCCGCGTAGATGGGCTGCGCCTCATGGTTCCAATCTCTACAATGGCACGTATGAGCTTCACCGCTTGCTCTTTCTCCACGGCATGTTTGTTATCCCTCGCCAGAGACCTGGGAACCGATTTCAGTCTGCTTCCGATTGAGTGGCCCATTACACCAACTTTACAAGATACCAGTCTAACGGCTGCTCTTGCAAGCGGGCGATAGAGTCCGAGTCTACTAAGGCATGTCGGATAAGTCGATATGCACATGCTCGACATTGTTTGGAGCATCGATCCGATAAACCCAAGAGTGCCCTAGATGAAGCTGCATTATACCCGCACATCCATCACCAGACACGGAACTTACACGTGCACCACTTCAGATATATTCACAGCATAGCGGACACGAAGATTTCTCTGGAGGATACCAACAAGACGATTCATGGCGTCGACTCGAGCTGCATCAATCTCGAGCTCAGTCGAGGGACTAGGCTTTGTAGTGGATGTAGAAGGAGAGGGTGATTGTGACCCCGATGCTCTCCCTAAAGAGGCGAGTGTCCTAATACATGTTATGGCATGGTTTAGCGCAGTATGGAAATCATCTATCATGTGAATGTCAGGCCACGATCGCCTGGCTGCCTGCTACACATACCTCTTTCCTCGACGCTATGTTGCCTCGGTCTGGCGGGCCTAGCGGATACTACTTTGACTCAGACATCACCAACTAGCACAGATGTATGGCACACTTACTCAAACGTATTTGGGCTGTAATTGTCTCGATCTCATTTTGGGCTCTTTCAAGTTCTGACTGGACCTTGTCTCGCAAATGCTCCTTGAAATTTGGATCCTATTATGGCCTTGCAGTCGCTCCGGCGGGATCTCATTCATCAACTTCATCAGACTTACTGTTAAGGCTAATTGGAGCATACTCTCTGCGCCCTCCTTGATCTGCTTCTGCACCTCCAGACGCTTAGCAAGGACTTCGAGCTACAGTTCCGTGTTCAGAAAGTCATATCCTTGACAATACTACAGATCACCATTCACCTGTTCCGGCTTGTCATCGTCCTCCGAGCGAATCCCATTCGATATGTTGCCACCTGACGAATGTCCATCCATGAGAGTAGTACCAGAAGCAAAGCTTCTGGATCCGTTTGATCCCGCATCGCTGGGATGTCGCACTGTAGTCCCGCTGAGCCTATCCACACCCAAGGTTGGCTGCGCGGTAGGCATAGCGTACAAACGGAAGGGAGCTCAGTTGTGTTGATCCTAGGCTTACTAGACCAGGAAAAAGGAATGAGAGAGTAGATCACTGCGCGTATGACGACTCCGACGAGTTGCAGACGGCCTTCGTCGCGTCAGCAGACAATAATGTCGCGCTCAGGTTCGGCAGTAAGAGGTGGTAAGTATCAAGCGAGTATACGTACGAATACGACGAACACGATCCTCGAGGTCTCGATGCAGTAGACCCCTGACACCAATATCGAGCGTTACTCTGATGGCAAGAACATGGACCACACACTGATACGACATAGTACTTTACTGCCATGTCGCTCGTGCGGTCATGTCAGCGCACGCTGGCGAAACCCTCCCAGCTTAGGCTCGCTCTTAGTTCCCGTCATCTTGCTACGGAGTCTAGCTCCAGTGTCGCAGCTGCACCTGAAGCCAGTCAGGCTGAAACGAAGGAGATTGCGCCCCTTCCGACCAAGGAGGTAACTAGCGCGGAGGTGGTCAGCGGTGCACCTGGTAGGTGTACGATATGCTCGTAAGGATACAGCTTTGTTGAAGCTCGCTCAGAACAGTTGCGTCACCGTGTTGTCCGCATCTACCAGCCTGCTCGTAGCACGATGCAGAGTGGTTCTGCCAAGACCAACCGTTGGCGTCTTGACTGGGACATTCTTCCAGGCGGAGGACGATGGGAGAACCCTCTCATGGGCTGGGCTAGCTCGTAAGTTAACTGCTCCTTAATTTCGATGTCAGTATAAGGTACGGAATGACGCCGAACTGTTCAGTGCGGATTACATGCAGGGCACCCGGATGTCCTTCAGGTCGAAAGAGGATGCTGTTCACTTTGCCGAGAAGCAAGGTAAGCCAAACTGTGGATATCTTGAGTCCCCTACTGACCCAAATACCTGCGCTTCAGGCTGGGACTATTATGTGTGAGTACGCCCGTCCTATTTCTAGGCTACTGCTTCGAACGAGATGGGTTCTATAGGCAACCCCCTACCGTTAAGAAGATACCGCCGAAGAACTATGCAGAGAACTTCGTCTACAAGCCCCACAAGCTTCGCATCGCCCGAACGAAATAGAGGAGAGCGTGTATCAGGACGTATTTGGCTGTGCTATAGCGTGACCAGCAATATATCATACAGTTATAGCTATTCTCGGTGAGAGCCTGAAAGAACAATTGTGAACCCGTTGCAGACCATCCAGCATATTCTTACCCTCTCTCCTCTGTGACAGCTGCAACTGTTGCCAGCTATTCTATAAGTTCTCGAGGCCGAGAAACCTATATTAGTCGCTGGAAGGCCGTGTGTAATGCTGTCAGTCTGATCTACCGTGCGCAGGGCTTGTAATGCTGCTAGCTGGGCGTCTGCTCCGACTATGACATAACTTGATCTCCAGAACACATTGCTGAGCTAGATATCCGTTTTCTGAGTGTCATACGAGGTTCACAGTTCGATCACGCCAAACAACAGCTCGGTTACGGCGTGTTCCCAGCACGAGCTTGAGTCTAAAGTTCCGCAAGAGTGGATTTCGCATGGAGTCTTCTTCACGAAGTTGACCCTGGGTTACACTCCCCAGTCCTAGACAGGCGACTGCCCTCGTCCTTTTCCTCACCGTCTTCAAAGCTGTTGTTAATTCTCTCGGCGTTTGGCTAGACGACCATGTCTATCGAGAGCCGGCCGTTTTCGAAGAATTACAGGTAAACCGCCGCCTGCAACCCCTGGGGTTCTCAAGTAAACTAAGCAATTGCTGTCTTCCAGTGGCCTTGTCAATCAGTCCGTAGTCGGTGTCGGTCTTCTGGTAGTATGCGTTTCAGCCCACGAGTTCATGAAGAGGAAGCGGAGGGGTAATCACCGGGGAGAGGAAGGATTGGGTAGTGTGGAATCTTGGGAATTCGGATAGTGAGTGTTCTCAATTTCGGGACATTTTATGTGGAACGAGAGGGATACCAGTCGTGGCTGAGCGCCGCAAGAGCATACGGTTTAGCTCGCTAGAGAAGGGAGCTGACTTAGTCTCATGTAGCCTATACCAAGGCCGTTCCTGGGCAAAGTATGTTTTCCATTTATGCAGTTCTTGCCATGATGTTGACTTGGACAGGCGACCGTCTCCTCCACACCCCCGAGGATGGCCCTTATCCTGGGTGAAAGAGGTCCTGCTATTCCCTGACAACAAGGTGAATGAACTGAGAGGCGTGGACGCAAGTGTATATCTGCGCTGGCTGAAGGGCTGCTGTATGTCCTCAAACATACTCCTTGAGGTCAACCATCTAATGATCTGGATAGGGTGGTTCCTGTTACTCCACGTACTCACAACGTTCCTCATCCTCTTCCCCGTGCATGTCAAACTTGCCCCTTCATACGTCTCGCCGAAGTCCATGACTCGTGCCTCCATAACCTCTCTAGTAGGCTCTGAGAAAGGCGACTCGCTGCTATGGATCCATATCTGCCTGCTCTTTTGGGTTACACTGACTTGGATGGGTACACTCTTCTGGATCACGCGCGGTGCTTATCGGTTTCGGGCCCAGAAGATACAGGCGACTGCCGACCGCGTGGCTTCCGAAACTGAGGTGGAGAAGGAGTCACAATGGTGTCCTCACCCTCATCCGCAGTTCCCATTCCAGGCGTTGCCCTCCCTCGACCACGAAAATTGGAGTCGGGGACTACGACTGCGAACTGTAATGGTCACGAATGTTCCGCCACAGCTGCGTTCAGAGAAGGAATTGAAAGATTATTTCCAGTATTATCTTTCAAGACCTCTTGACATGCCTTCAATGGGTTTGACGTCATCAACGCCTCCCGGTTTCTGGAACAAGATTTTGGCGTTTTTATTCAATCGCGCTAAGACTATCCCTTCTAAGTTACCTCTCCCTATGACGTTCAGTCGCACGGAAGCTCAAGACTTTGCTGCGGCTACCGAGGCCGGCAGAGATGCGAGCAGTTGCACTGATGGGCTCGAGCGACCGTCGATAGATCGAGTTGTCATAGCTAGGAAGATGACGGAACTTGCATCCCTCCTAGAACGACGAGAAGAAGTGCTAAAACGCTTGGAAACGGCGCACATCAAGCTGGCGAAGAAGGCATTGACGGAGGTCAAGGCAGCAATGGACCTCGAGGACGCTGCTGGAAAACCTAGAAAACGCTCCATGGATAAACTGACCAGCAGTCCAGTCTCTGATGTAGACGTGGAACGGGGGGACCACGCTCGCGAAGCCTCAGTGGAGGGCGAGGATCGTACGGACCTGCTCATCCGAACGCTGGGGCCGTTCGTGCAAGAATTCGGGCTACGAAAGCAATCCAGATTTGGACGTCGTAAACTTCAGAAGGTTGCCGACCCTCACTCTGGGAAGGACACGGCGGTCGAGATGGAGTGCCCAAAGCAAGCTCGCGACGACAAAACGATATGGGAAGCGTTACTAAGTTTACCTCGAAGCACACTTGATGCCTTTCAGCCTCTCATCCACTTGTCTGCGTTGTTTCGGGGCAAGACTGTGCCCTCCATCGACTACTATACTGCCAAGCTTGGATTGTTAACCGCCCTTATAACGGAAAACCGAGCCCGGGCCGTCTCTGACTATGACCCCTGCTCGACAGCTTTTGTAACTTTTACCAACCCCGATGACGCAAGGAGAGCTTGCAAGTACCTAGCCGTTCATCCCGACAACCCACTGGCGTGTCTTGTGACAATGGCACCCAGCTACGAAGATATTGACTGGATCAGGCTCATGAAGTCAACGTTCAGGGCAGAGGTAACGTGAACACAGTCTCTTGATCGGCACAATGCTCACCGGAATACACAGTTCCTAAAAGATTGGATTGTGGACGTCGGCGTTTGGTAGGTGGTACGTCCACACCTCTTAGCAAAGGCTGCTTACACTAGGTGTCCCAGGACGTTTACGATCTTCTGGCTTATCCCAGTTTCCTTCTTCGTTACCCTGGTATCTATTCAGAACGTTCAAACGTATTGGCCGTGGCTGGTAAGTGTAGTACACTGCGTGGAAATTTTCTCTCAACACGTTTCAGAATCGCTACCTGAGCCATCATCCATGGGAGCAAGAAGTGCTGCAATCATTCGTGCCGACTGTGTTCATATCTCTCCTGACTATAACCGTACCTTTGATTCTCCTCCTGATTGCGAAGAAAGCCCATACGATCATCACGTTGTCCGCTCTCCACGACAAGATTATGACCCGCTACTACAAGTTTCTGATCGTCAACGTACTAGTCTTCTTCTGCCTTGGCACCTTTGTCCTGCAGTCCTTCTTAATCAACTTCACTGAGACAGCTGGCGGCTTAATCAACACTGTTGCAGGGAGTTTCCCGGCTGCTGGCCCTTTCTACGTTGGTTGGCGTACGTTCTCCGATTGCTTTCTTCAGGTTGACAGCTCATATCATCCAGTGATCTTTACTACTGCGATGCATGGAGGGGTGGAACTAGCTCTGCGTAAGTGCTAATACACTCCAATCGATCTTGGTCGCTAATTTGTGTCTGACTTGCCAAGTCGGCGTAAGTCGAAACTACCTGGTCCTCGGCGCTTGTATCTGACTGGATATGCAGCTCCCACTCATCATGTATCCGAGCACCCGACGTCAGGTAACACCACGCAAACGGGCAGTTGGTATCCGACCCCGAACTTTCAACTATTATTGTAAGTATCAACTATAGACTTCGGAACATCAAACTGAAAGCACCGGCATCTCTACAGATTGGCTCCCGAATCATCTGCTTGTTATACATATTCTCCTCCTTTTTGCTGTCTTACAACCGCTTGTTTTGCCCTTTGGGCTTCTGTACTTCTGCGTGGAAGTCGGTAAGTATCTCATGCGCGGTCTGGATTTGATTGCTCTAATGCACAGCCCCTTCAGCTGTTATTAGAAACCAAGTAAGGCGAATGCTTTAACTTAGGTGGTCCTTTCCTAAACAATGCTGAATGATTCTTTTTAGCTGATTCATGTCTATGCAAGAAATTACGAAGGCAATGGCCAAACGATGCTCATACGAATGATTAGGTACTCCTTGGATGGTACGTATTGTTATATGGTGCAGTCTGCCCACGAGCTCATATTTCGGGGACACGATGCAGGATTAATATTTGCACAGGTCGGGCAGTTCCGTTCACTCTGGATAACTACAACCTGATTTTTTGATAACAGGCTGTCTTCATGGCATATATGACTGTATTGAAGAAGCACGTGAACATCGGGCTGGCCGCGTTTTTGATAGTTTTCACTGTCATCGTGAAACTCGTGTATGTTCAGGTCATCCACCATGAAGGGCCGTGTCTGACAACTTGCCTGCAGCGCTACTCGCTTAGTAAGAGCCCGGTTTGAATACGATGACGTACTCGAGGCAAGGATCCTCTGCGGAACCGGAGAGACTGTCCCTCTCCCAGATAGTCCCTCGACGTCGTCTCTTGGCACGCCGGATCCCGAAGCCCCAGTTCGAGGTCCCTCCGAACCTTTTAACAACCATCAAGATTCGCACATATGGTCCTGGAAGTTACCGATGAAGTTCAACTTCTCCTATGCCACTGTTCCTAGCCGGCCACGGCGCGCAGCACGACATCAACCAAATCCTTTCGGGCCTCATCAGCGTCCATTCAGCCGCCTTCACTCGTTTGATATCTCACAGAAACGAGAGCACCAGCGACGTGATGTGAGTCCGACAACTGCCGAGCGGGCATCGATGTCGATGCCCGCACTAGAAAGGACTACATCTCCGCTCGAGGAAGAAACGCCCGCGATTATTCCGGATACATCCAGCCACGCGCTTGTGACAAGGCATCCACCACACCCTACATGGGATGACGAGTCGAATCCTGACCATCCATACGATAACCCTTACTATACACAACCCATCCGAAATGTCCTCTGGCTGCCCCGAAACCCTGTGGGGATCCTGGACTTGGACGATACTGTCGATGTTCACAGAGCCCTCACGAGTGAGCCGGGAGTTGATCAGTTGGGCGAATGGCCGACAGAGCAAGCGGCGACTATCGCCACGGGCCTTTCAGGCCTGGGATTGTCGACTATCACCAGCTTTTCTAATCCTGACCTGGATGGAATGTCCCTCTCCCCATCCAGAAGATTTACGGGTGACGAGAGTATCAGTCTGAGAACTGGGCTAGCGAGTCGTGTAGAAGCAATTGAGAAGGAGGAAGACGTGGAGATTGCTGTCGATCCCCAAGCACATTCTCGGTTCGCCCGGCGGAGAACTGGGAGCGACCACCGTACTCCTTCATCAGCCAGTCGGCAAGGTTCGTTGGGATTAGGCAGGCCCAGTACCTTTGCAGGGATGCGTTCGTTTTCTTCGGCATCAGGGTCCAGGCATCCGCCACAGAGGCGCGCTTCATCAGTGCTATCCACTGCTGATCCGCGTCTTCATCCTCGCTCTGCGTCCATGAGCCAGGACATCGATGCCAGACCAGATTTCCATGCCCAAGCCGAATTTGCGAAGTCCACATTATCCATGGTGTCCTCATCTCCTCGTCTGATGAGCGGTGATAGACTGCCCATTGGTTCATCCGCTATCTCGACCCAAGAAGCGGTGCTGCATGAAGTTATTAAAGAAGAACAAGAAGCCGCTGAAGACCGGCTACGGCGAGAGCAGGAGGAAGCACAGGCAAGCGCGAAGGCCGGTAGTGTATGGTGGACTGCTTGGATGTTCAGGAGGGCACGGTGACTGTTCTCACCTCGCGGAGACCATTCCTTTCTTTTCTTCCTTTTCAGGAGCTTTCGATGTTCTTCTTGGTCATACCCGTGCATTAGTAATTTATCTGTGGAGCGTACGTGTATACCATAATTCGACATTCATCATTATTCAAGGCACTAGCTCGTCATCGAATGACCGGGGTTTCCCTAGTCATAGTTCCATGGAATATCGCGAAGCGAGTGCATGTTCATGGGAGTAATACACACGCAGACACTTCGAAGGAGATGTCTGAGCCGGACGTGACATGAACATACTAATCCCTTTACGGGAGGAGTGGCTCGAAGAATCAGAGTATGTTGTGTGGAGGAATTCAACGTGTTCTGTAAACCAATACCCATTGACTTGCAGTCTCCTGGGTTTCCGCAGATGAATCAGATGCTAGCCGGGCCATTCGTACGGTCCGCGATAATTTCACTGCCGGGTGATTGGCGGTCCCCGTTGCAGAGAGCACAACTCCCTATTGAGTTGCTGCATTCCTTGCAAGACTCACCTTAACTCATATACGGGTCCGCGAGCATCAGGTTTGCAAAGCAAGGCTGTACGAGAGATTTTCAATTGTACGTATGACTCGAAAGGTGCAAGGAGCGCTCCACCTGAGGTTCGCCCCCGCATGTGTCGGACGGACGAGTGGCGCTGTAATTTAACCAAGGTGGGTCATACAGACAGGATCCTTGCTATCACGGCCCACAGAATCAATCGATGTGCGAGGCTCATCGTCTGCTACGGCGTTTGATCTGAAGCAAACATTTTTTGAAAAGAAATACGAGGCTAACTTCATTCCGAGGACCGAATTTCGGGACTACTTACACTATGTAGTAATCACTTTACATATGCTTCCGCCATTTCTCAAGCGCGCTTACTAGGCTATACCTGGGGATATCAGGTTCAGTATTCGGGTTTATGGGAGGGGAAGGCAACAGATCGAATCAGCTACTTACCGATGACACCACAGGCAGAGCGACCACCGGCATTACCTGTCTTGAGAGAATCGTCATTACCACCCCGGCCAAGGTCGTCTGTACCCTGCATTGCGATGATCCATTTAGCATCAATATAATGATAAGTGAGGGGGAATAAGTATTACAGCGTGCACAACCACCGCACGCCCGACGATGCTCAAGGGACCATTGAGGGAAATTAATTTGTCTTGGAATTCGAACACGGCAACGCCGTTCCGGTCGCTCTCGATGTTGCCCAGGTCCCCTACGTGCCGCTTGCTAGACGGATCGGTAGGGGCCCCGTGTGTGGTGGAAAACGGGTTGAAATGCGAGCCTGCGGCGGCGCAAGAGGATACGTCACCGGAGTGGCTGCGAAGAGAAGTCTAAGTGAAGGTCTTTTAGAGCGCAGGGGGAATTACCCACTGAATGTGGAAGCCACGCTTGGCGAGGGGATCTAAGCCCTTTAGCTCGCCCTTGATGGTAACGGCACCGGATTTGGTTGATTGGGTGAAGGTGATCATGCCCGTTACTTGCGAGTCACCGGATACAGTGACCACAGCCTGTGTGTAAGTCAGTCAACATGCAATATAAACTGCATTGAAAGAGAAATGTGAGAGCACTCTAAGGCATACCGAGCCAAGACAAACGAGAGATGAACATCTGCATTGACCGATCCAGCGGATGCACATCCTGATCTCGAGCGGGGCCCCGCCTACTCAGAGCTGGGGCGAAGTGCCCAACGCCTAATGTATGTGTACTAGCATGACGGCTCAAGGCCGCGCATTCGTAGCGGATCAGAGGACGGAGGGAAAACCAACCTTGGTCACAAGGGGAAGTTCTTCAGGCTTCAGGAATACATTCCAAAACAAGAGGAATGTCACGAAAGCCGCGACGGCCGTGATGACCAGCGGCCTCTTAGACGGAGGTTTACTATGTAAAGCGTCCATTTTAGATTTGAGGTGACGCTTCTGCTTGTAAATTCAAGCAGGAGGGGTGTCAATATTCAACGCCGTGCGCGAGGCGTGAAATGCGCGCTAATTTCGCCAGTGAAGGTGAGTAGACGAAGAGTAAGTACTTCCTTTCTTTAGCAGCGTAACGAGCAAAAGCGAGCTTGTTGGCTGCGTAATGATGTGCTGACGATGATTTAGAGTCAGTTGCGTGGAGTCGGTGCAGGCAATTGCACATACAGTATCTCTCCGTGACTGCACGGCCGTCGGGAACTTAGTTTCTGGGTCGGCGAACGATCTATTCCGGTCACTTCCGGTCGATGCGGAAGCTGTGATGAACGCCGGTACATGTACTGTAACTCGCCGCCGGCAGCTCGTGCCTGGCCAATAGGACAGCTGTTCCACAGTGTTTCCCGCACTTTGGCAATGGCCAATTGCCGCGACTCTCAATTGGCCGTACGGCAGGTGTGGTCTCTAGTTTACGACCATTTCAATATATTCCAGGGTATTAGAGCGTGGCACAATGTCCAACGTCTGTTTTATTTTGGGAGCGTGGGGAACATTTCATCCCGAAACATATGTCCTCGGGTCAGGAGGACGGATGTGTATTTTGAGCGTAAGTACATGTACAGCAGGGCGCTGAACGTCGTATGGACCTGCCCGTAGCTTTGATGGCTGATAACAGCTGAATGACGACGTCCATGACATGCGATCCCAGGCACTGTTACGGAGGAGGTTGAACCCAGCAGAGATCACATAGACCGATAATTCGCTGAAGCCACCAGACATGTCCACCAGCAGTGCTTGAAGCGGAAGAATAGTCACACCTGGACTATTGGGCGCAAACGTGGAAGCGTTGACGGCTCACATACAAAGTTGCGTAGCGGTTGCAACTCGCAACCTCATTTCATCAACCAGCTCGTGGAGCGTACGACTGAGCGATCCGCCGTCGCAGACGATATCGCGAGAGAGACATAGCTATAGCTCGGGAGACAGGATCATACATTACGTGCCGTTAACTTATGGAAGAGGTTCGGATGAGCTAAAAGTAGGCGGCCTTGTGATAACATCCATAGTTCGTGCCAATCGCACGCAATCCTCGCCAAACATATATCACAGCCCAGACGAGAGTAGAGCGCAGTGGAAAAGGTCGCCCAGATGCTCGAGGGACATGGCCTGATCACGTCGCGCCACCTCATTGCCGCGCAGACACGCATGCAGTAGAACCCCTAGAACATTCACCGACAAGCACGCCGTGGCTGGCGTCAACAGCTCGGCCCCGTCGACGCAGACCAAGCATGCAGAATACGTGTCGCTTCGCTTCGTGTCGCGAGGGAGAAACAAGGTACGAAGCAGCTCGGAAGGGACCTTTTCCATGCAGGCAGCAACACGAATTTCCTCCAGCCTTCCAATCCACGCCCGAGACAGCCGGCCATACGGTGGGAACTGGAGTATTACATAAGCGAGTTAAATCTGAATGGATCTGCCCCGCATCGTGGGGCATTCTCCAGCAAAATGTGCTGTCCTGTAACACCGGTTGCAAAGTGCACCTTTGATATGTGCGATTTCAAGAATTATGAGAGAGATGTTTGGCTGCATAGATCGCGCTCAGAGTCATAATGAGTCGGAATGAGTTCCACGGAGACTAGTCGAACTCAATAAGCGTTTCTCGCTCATTTTCTCAGTGCGCTGAAGCCTTTCGGGGTCCCTGCCGAACGGCGATCGGACTTGGGATCTCAGCACGAACGAGAAAACGAGAAACAGCTCCTCGAGCTGTTTCTCTCGTTTCTCTGGGGCGGACTTTCAATTGCCATGCGCTGTACTGATGTACCAGACTCTCGGTTGCTTATGTCTTGCCTAATACGATATATTTTGGCTTGTTGTGACGCGCTGTTGGACTAAGTTGTGTTCTGGCACCCTTGCAACTACTGAGCTAGGGCAGGGCCAGTATAGTGACCCTGCTGATACTGCCACATACCGTCCCAATCCGCCATAGAATTCAGCACGTGGGATGAGCACGAGCTATCTGACAGCTGTGGTGTCTAGCATGCGACGAGAAATCCGCCAGAAAATGCACGCTCAATAACTTCGGGTTTCTCCGTGTCGCCGCGTCGGCAGGAGGGGTGCCAGTGCGCCCGAGAAAATGAAAACGAGAAACGATATTGAGTTGGGCTACTCGTAAGTAGTGAAGGCACCGCGATCTACCGCGATCTGCCAAGGGCGACGCGTCGG